CTGTCACACATATGTCACTGAGCAACGGTGTGTGTTCAGGCCCATCCGCCACACTGTCACACATATGTCACTGAGCACCATTGTGTGTTCAGGCCCATCCGCCACGCTGAATCCATCTCAGTCAGCTGAGGAGGCCACAGAAGCCACAGAGGTCCCGGAGGCTGCAGCCAGTGTGGCAGCAGAGGGATCGGCCCCCCCTGGCCCCTTTATGGAGCATGTCTTCACTGACCCCCTGCCCAGCACGGCCGGCCCCCCGCTGGGAAGGTGGGTCCTCAGTTCCATGCCCACAGAGCGCACAGAACAGTGTGACCATGTTGAGGTGACCGTCCATCGGCTGTGTCCCAACTCCCAGCAGGGCCGCTGCCCCCCCCACGGAGGACAGCTCATCCACAGGTCAAGTCCCTCCCGAGGACGGGGATGACGCGGCAGGGGCAAGTAGCACAGCGCCCACCATGTGGCTGGGAGCTCAGAATGGCTGGTTCGTATCAACAGCGCGCCGTCTCCTGTACTCGCTTACACACAGTCGTGCGTCATTAGTACCAGTAGATTAGGCATGGATTCTCATTGTGCGGACGGGGGCAGAAGCTTCACTCACTGTGTGGCTGAGCACAGGACTGGTTGAGACGTGTGATCTACACGGTTTGGTGGTATCATTGTCAGTGCCAGACGTGATGATTATGGCGTCTTACAAACAGCCACCCTCCTGTATTCATGTTCTGCTCGCTCACTTGGTTCTATCCTGGTCCTGGTCTTTTGTTTGGGCTAAGTGTCTGTGATGTACCATGTCTGTCTCTTCAGGCTCTATGTGCACTCAGCAGTGTCCAGCTGGAAGAGATGCCTTCACTCCATAAAGCTGAAAGACTCCGTTCTCAGTATAGTGTGAGTCTATCTTAATCAGATGTGTTCCGAGCTGTTCTGGGTATAAAAGACAGTGCTGGTTCTCACAGTGCTAACCCTAACCCTAACCCTAACCCTAACCATAAGCACTGCTGATCTTGTGCTGCAGTCATGTGAAGGGCAGGGTGCTGGTGGCTCTGGCAGATGGGACTCTGGCCATTTTCCACAGAGCTAAAGGTAAGAGACCAAGTGCACGGTGGGCCGTAGGGTCTTTGCACATCAGCAAATATTTTGAAATTCATTTGTTTGTGACTGCACAAAGTAAAAAAAGAAATGGTGGTCTGCTTCTATGTGTATGCATGCGTGTCTCTCTTTGTGTCTGTCACTCTGTGTGTGTCTGTGTGTAGATGGCCAGTGGGACCTGAGCAACTACCACCTGATGGACCTGGGCCGACCGCATCACTCCATCCGCTGCATGGCCGTGGTGCACGACAGGGTGTGGTGTGGCTACAAGAACAAGGTCCATGTCATCCAACCGAAGACGATGCAGATTGAGGTGAAGCGGCAACGTGAAAATAAGTAGTCACTTTGCTCTTGTGGAGTGTCTATGCATGCCGCCTACTCACCCTGACCCTACTTTACGTCTCCAGAAGTCGTTCGAAGCGCACCCACGCAGGGAGAGCCAGGTACGGCAGCTGGCGTGGATTGGAGACGGCGTGTGGGTCTCCATCCGCCTGGACTCCACGCTGAGGCTGTACCACGCTCTGACTCACCAGCACCTGCAGGATGTGGACATCGAGCCCTACGTCAGCAAGATGTTAGGTAAGGAGACGGGCTTTTAAACCACAAGCTAGTCTTGGGCAGTATGCCGGAATGACGGTATACTCCGGTATTTAGAAATCCTGAAAGTATTATTTAAAAATACAATACAAACACAAATACAGATGCTTTTCGTTCTGTTAAACCGATACAGAGATGCTGTGTTGAGTCGATGCGGTGCACAGCGTTAGCAGTGATTTGTAGCCTCACTTAAGATAGGCTATCTGTGATCAGGAGTTTACAGAAACCTACATGATTTACTTTTATTAAAATACTGTCGTATTCTGTATACAGGGGTGAAATACCTAGAAGGTATGATGGTATGAAAATATAGTTGCCGCCCAAGCCTACCAGGAGACCTATCTGCATTTTTCTCAGGCAGTTAACCCTTAATGTGTCTGTGCCCTCTGTATGTATTTGAACACTAACTATAGACAAATTCCCTGCGTGTGTGAATGTACTTGGCCAAATAAACCGGACTCTGATTCTGATTCCTTTCCTTGCTGCTGTTTGGCAGGTACTGGCAAGCTGGGCTTCTCATTCGTCCGAATCACCGCTCTCCTGATTGGAGGAAACCGGCTGTGGGTGGGGACAGGCAATGGTGTCATCATTTCCATCCCGCTGACTGAAAGTGAGTTTTCCTATAGTGTGTGCATCTGACACACAGGGGCCTTTTGGACACTAAAATGACAGTCACTGGTTCGGCCCGTTTCAGCTGTTCTTTTGACCTCCCTCCCCTTTAACGAATGCATTCTCCTTCTCTGTGTTATTCTCCATCTCCCTTTTTCCGGTGATCGTTCCTTTGCCTCCCTTCACCTTTAAAACTCTCTATCCCTGGCACCTGTACCCTTCTCTCCTTCTTCCTGAAGCTGTCGTCCTGCACCGAGGGCAGCTCCTTGGTTTGAGGGGTAAGTCGAAGCTTTATCCAACCCTCTTTTCCGATTGGCCTCTTTCCACATGCGTATCCAAATGTCCTTTTCCGATTGGCCGCTTTCCACATGCGTATCCAAATGTCCTTTTCCGATTGGCCACTTTTCATGTGTGTTTCTCGTCCTCATTTGCCAGCATTCTCACCTCCACGTGTTCCCTAATGATCATGATAGAATGTTTTGCTGAGGGCACAGACGAGTTGCAGTGACAGGGAACCCCTCTGATTTGTACGTTCCACAAGTTGCTGGTTTGTAGTAAATGCAGACCGAGGGACAAATCTGTCTGGAATGTAAATAGCCCATCTGCATACAGGTCTGGTCTCTCCATCGGTACCAGACATGTGTAAAGTAAAAAGTGCAAGTGAAATAAAAAGGGGAATTAACAGAGAAGCACCTTCGAAGGGAGGCCTGCCACCCCTCGTGGAACGTCTGCACATGCTTGCATGCTCCTGGCTCTCTGGCCGCTTGCCGACCACAGCTCTACTGTCGCCCCTCAGCCAACAAGGTGTCTCCGACCTCCAGCGGGGGGGTCATCCACGTGTACGCTGACGACGGCTCAGACAAGAACAGCGGGAGCTTCATCCCCTACTGCTCCATGGCCCAGGCTCAGCTCTGCTTCCACGGCCATCGCGACGCCGTCAAGTTCTTCGTCTCTGTGCCAGGTGAGTCATACAACACCCCTGCCTCAAACCAGAATGCACAGACACCCGCCTTATAAAGAGATGGAGGAAGTAATTTCGAGGTTAAATCTGACTGTGTCCCCCACCTGAACTCTTCAGGAAACGTGTTGGCCACGCTGAACGGCAGCGTGCTGGACAGCCCATCCGAGAACCCCAGCTCGACGGCTGCCCCAGAGGCGGAGGCCCAGAGTGTCAACAATGTGCTGGTCCTGAGTGGCGGGGAGGGCTACATCGACTTCCGCATCGGTAAGACCTGAGGAGATGCCCAGCAGCCACCGAGGACCACTCCATGACGCCGCGTTTTAAACAGATGGTGCATTTATGCCATTTTCTGAGTACGTGCTGCTTTTTCCGTTAAGTCTGACGTGTTTTCACCATTCCCGTGCACCTGCAGGGGATGGAGAGGATGAGGAGACAGAGGACGGCCACAAGGTGTCACAGATTAAGCCAGGACTGTCCAAAGCAGAGAGGAGCCATATCATCGTGTGGCAGGTGTCTTATGTCCCAGAATGACAGCTGTCCTCCTCTAATGGCTACAACTGAATTTAAGACCCATATTATAAATCCCCTTTTTGCCCTCAACTATTCAAATATATTATAAACTTAACCTTTCTGACCCATGACCTGATTATACCGCTCACTGCTTACTAGTGGTCACATGACATGGGGCTGAGTTCAAAGGTAGCTATACATATGAAGATGGCACTCTGGGTAATGTGCAGGTGTGGCAGCCCAGTGGGCATACCGGAAGGGCAAGTTACTTGGTGCTTTGGGAGTTAAAACCGGCACGTTAGGTAGTTTAGGGTTTCATTGGTGAAACACAGCTTCAAACTAAATATAAAAAACAACACTAATGACCTGTAATATATGAAGTGTGAAATAAATGTGCAGGTGCGTGTGGGACTTGGTCTTTCATGCAGTGAACAGAGCCCTGGAGATGAAACAGAAATACTGGTACATAAATGGTGCTGTACATAGTCAGCATTTAGGCCAAAGGGTAGATTGTAAATAAGATGACAGTATTCATGAGAGCACATGTGTAAACAATAACACAGCTAGCAGACGCTTGTGGAAGTACCATAAACAGCTGTGGATTCATTGCGAGAAAGCAGGAAGGATGTGGAGTATTTTTTCTTTTTACTTTTATGGGGCCAGGCCTTTCACTTCGGAAGAGGGGTTACCCTTTACACATGTTCTCTACTGGAAGGACAGCCGTTGTGCAAATTTTAGAGGACTGCACTTAAGACTAAATGCAGTTCATCAAACCAAATTGCAATCAAAGCAGTTGTCCATCAACAGATTAACAGTGCCACCTGCTATAGCATTGTGGCCAGTATGAGACTGAGGTGTAATTTAATTTTATAGACCATAAACAGATTGGCCAGGAAGATCCCTTTGCTGTGGCTGTTAGTAAGCTGTGAGCTGATTGGTTGAAGTCCTCTCACCATGTCCTCTGCGATCCCCATGTAAGCACTAAAAAGCAGCAGGATTCAGAGGCCAGGCTCCTGTAAATTTACAGTAAAGCCTCCCCCCCCCCCAATTTATGATCCTCTCTTCTCCCATGCTATGTACCTTTACACATAAACTGCTGTCTGTAAGTATTAAAGATGTGCAAGGAATACAAAGTAATGTGTGTGTGTATGTGTGTGTTCATGTTCCCAACACACTTGTTTGAGCAGCATTTTATGCTTTGCTGTGACATTTGGAAGTAGGCACAAAAACCTAGACAAACTGCTTAGGTCAATGTGTTTTATTCATGATGAGCTTCTTTGTCATGAGAATCAGATTTTCCATGCAGTGGCAAAACAAAATGCATATATTTGAGGGTATTGGGTTTAAAGGCCCTCATGCTACATAAGATAAATCATACTTTATACTCTGCTATGGTATATTTTTATGTTTCTTTCTACTGAGCATAGTTGTGCTAAAGCACAACAATAAAGCTGAAGTAGGAATATCTTAATTGAAAATGAATTCTTTACATTTTGATGCATTTCACACTTGAAGCAGTGCATCTCAGCTAAAATAAACCAAAAAGCCAAACTGGGCAATAAAGGGACTCATCTTCCAAAATTTCAAACCAATACAGGTCTGTAAAGGACATCAATTTCAGTCTTAACAGCTGACACTACATTTAACAAAAAATGAAACCAATGCCATATAAATATGAAGTGGCAAATAAGTGATTCTATGACCCTGAGCATCCATTCAGAGTATCCGCCTCAATAAAAACTTACCACAGATGACCATAGATTACAATAGCAAGGATATGCTTCATAACAGGCACTGCGGCCACCCAGCAGAACAGCAGTAAACAGTCAGAAAGCCGTAGATATCAGAACGAGTCCTGCCAGTATGTAACGATGGACACAGGAGCCCGCAGCGTGTTTACCAGCAGCTAGCTGCTGTGCTTTTCACTGGTATCTCCAGGGCTGGCTGCTGTTTTCCCAGCAGATCAGCTCATCTGGGTTGAACCAGAGTGATATCTCCCTCTGTGCCATCTTCACAGAGTCGCTGCCATGGATCACGTTCCTGCAGAGGACACATCAAAGCCCTACTGTCAATTCCCGCTCTTCCTCCTGCGTGTCTGTCCCCAGTATCCCATTCCCTCCACCCACATCCCAAAGCGTAACCCTAAACGACCGCCATCTCTCCCTACAACTTCTTTGGTTCCTTGATAATAAGGGTTCCAACCCATGGTAGGTGAGTCAACTACTCCTCTCAGTCGCTTTGGTTTAACTCCCAGTAAGGCTAATATGTAATGGTGAGCTGGTCAGACTTGTCAGTAACTGATAGCGCAGAATGGCTGTAGCGCCATCTCCTTACTGCTGGTTTCTCCCCCCCTGCCATCTAACACATACCTGCCCACCTCCATGCAGAAGTCCCCTCTGATGGTCCCTGGCAGGGAGTCAGCAGGGTCAGTCTCTCCCAGCATCCTGCGGGCCATCTTTACTACGTCCAGGCCCTGCCACACCTGTGCACGCACAACGTTTGTCACACAATTTATAAATCAGAAAAGTGAAACTTTATTCACAATAAAGTTACTACACAAGTACAACGAAATTTACTGGCTGCCATTACGACACAACAATCAACAAATTTAACACTGATACCAACTTATTCAGTACAAGGTGTTACATAGATTACATTACTCTAGGGTTAAACTTAATACCTTTTATCCCACTATTTCCTCTCTCTGCAATAAATGTGAATCTGCTGAGGGATCGCTTGGTCATCTTTTTTGGGCATGCCCTAAAGTCGGTGAATTCTGGTCAGAAGTTTTTCAATTTCTTTCAGAAGTTTATGCCTGCGAGCTTCCCTTAGATCCTGCAACTGCCGTTCTTGGCTGGTCAGTCTCCTTGCAGCATCTTAACAAGGCTTTCCGAGTGCCTATACAGTATGGAATGGTGATCGCAAAAAAATCTATTCTCTGCATGTGGAAGAATAAGTCAAGGCCACTATTCAAGATCTGGTTGTCTGAACTTTCCTCCTCCCTGCATATAGAAAGGCTTAGATATAGTATGTCTGGACATATAGATTTATTTGAAGCTTCTTGGAGGCCTCTTTTCAATCACCTGTTAAAAATTTCTGATAATCGTGACACTACTTGAACCCTTGTAGTCGTAGTGTCGGTGTTAATACACCATTTATTTTTTTTCCCGATTTATCTCTTGTTAAAGTTATCGATAGTGCTGACACTTACAAATTTTTTGTTCTCTATTTTTTATTTTTATTTTTACTTCCCCTATCATTCTTGTTTTAAGTACCTGGGTGATTATATATTAATATCTGTATTTTTATTGTCATTATTATTCACAATGTCTCACTGAGTAAAAATCTATTTATTTATTTATTTTTATCTTTTTGACCATTCTTTATTGCTTCTACACAGCGACGTGGTTGACTGCTGAATTGAATCTATCTGAAGATGTGTTTTGTCTTTTTTTGTGATTATTTTTTTTTTCTTTCTATATGTCTGAAATTCGAAAAAATACCTCAATAAATATAATTCAAAAAAATTTTTAAAAATTACAAAAAATTTTTTTTTTAACACTGATTCCTTTCTGAAACAAAATATTTTTTTAAATCGTCCTATAAACTGACCTAAAATTCTCAGTGTTTAAGTAATCAAAGAGATACTTCTCAGACATTCTATTGCACAAGAAACAAGCTTAATATTAATTTAAAATATTTTGTCCTTCAAGCAAAGGTATTAGAGTATTAAAATGGTTGTTGATGAGACACAGTTTCTTTGGTAAGTTGCTAAAGTTACCACCAAGCAGCAACAACAGTTGCTTGACAGACTTTGCAATACATCGCATAACAGTTTACATTCTGTTCCATAGACCTGGATACCTTATGAATATCATATGCGTACAATACCAATCAAAGGTTTGCACATGTTAAGCCACCTACAAGGAAGAATGATAGAGTGACACATCACATGACCTGACCACACACTATAGAAATGGTTTTATATTAAACTCTGGGATGTGCACTTTAATCACATCTGACGTGTTTGATTTGAAATCTCAAACTGTGGAGCAGAGGGGTAAATCAAGGAAAAAATGTGACTTTGTCCCAAACATTATGGAGGGCACTGTAAATAAGCCTCTATGCTGGCAGTGCAGTCGCTTTATTTAATACCAGCTGTGCCATAAATGTCAAACCTGTTCCCTGGAATGAGCACTGAGGCAGTGAATGAAAAAACATCAACAATAAATCTTACCGTCATGAGTTTTCTACTGTCATGGCTTATGACACGTTTTTGTATGATTTATTCATTATAATTAGATTTGTCTGCAGTCCATTTCATTTTTCATGTTCTGAATCTGTTTAAGGGCAATTCTAAGGGAATTTTGAGCATAAACTGAGCCTTGAAGTAAAGAAAAAATTACCTGAATTATATCATGATAAGCACTGAAATCGACCAACGTGAAAAAAAATCTTCATGATAAAATATTTTGCCATATTGGCCAGCCCAACTGGGGTAGAGGCTGTTTCTGAGTCTGGATGAATGGGTCTTGTATCCCTACATAGTTTTTACATCCTTTTCAAATGAATGCCATTAAAAAGAGCATGCCTTACCATGGCAACCACAGGTCCAGAGCGCATGTACTCTATCAGTCCACTGAAGAAGGGTTTCTGCCTCAGGCCCCAGTAATGCTCCTTCAGAAGGGGCTCTGAGGGCTGTCAAAATAAAAGCTGCAACAAATCTGGAACAGCAGCAACACTCAAAAGGAAGTTGCAATGAGGTATTTGATTATAGACGATAAGTTTCTGTTCATGAACTCACCTGCACTAACTTCATCCCAACCAAGTGGAAGCCCTTCTTCTCAAACCGCCTAATGATCTCACCCACCAAGCGTCTGTGTACGCCATCAGGCTTCACAGCGATGAAGGTTCGCTCATAGACCCCGGTCCAGGCTGCCACAAGTAGACACACCCTTACAACACGTCGTCGGAGTAGCCCATGCTTAACGGCGGCATGCTGCATGCACACATAAAACAGACCATTTACGATTTGCAAGTAAAATCGTGTTCAGTGTTACCTAATGCAAAAGCTACCTGATCATTTTGTCAGCGGGCAAAAATATTAACCGCTTTAAAAACTCTCTGGTGCTATGCCAGTATCCTACAAGTCATACCTCCAATAGGCCAAAGGAAAAGCAACATTTTATTTTTGCACAGATGCAGTGCTGCATTTTGCAGTTCAGTTACTGTAAGAATGACACGGAGCCGCCGCTATAATTCCACCCTACTGCGTCCTACAGTTTTACATTCTCTGATAATGGAAACATTCTCTATGAACCCTATAATTTATGTCGCTGTCCCAGTTTCCAATAAATATAACAACTCTCCACACGGCTGCCAGCGCGGCTCACCGGCTCGGGCGGTCCGGCCGCGCTTTGTAGACGGTTCCGGATGTCCCCGCTGCTCGGACACAGACCGTTTGGTGCCCATCGCAGGTTTACACTAAACCAACTGAACAGCTGCAGCTTAAAATAGCCTGGCAGTAATACTCATTTTATAAAACGACGGCGTGAATGATGGGCCTGCCTATCAGCCAGGAGCCGGGGCTATTGGCAGAGCGGATTTCACTGAATCGCAGATCCGTGCATCCCGCATGCATGTTCTGCTACGCCAGCGTCTTAACAAGCCGCAGGACGGTGACACTAAACTTAAGCTAAAATGCAGGTGAAATATATTGCACTTACCGGTCTGGAAAATGTTAGCAAATACGGTCAGCACGAAACAAATCATGATGGCGTCAGACGGAGCGTGTCACCCACGGCAACAGCGCGAGGGTGGAGATTTTCTGCTCGCGCATGTGCCTCGTGCGGTGCGTGCCCCCGCGAGTCTGACGTATACATACGTACCAGCGGACTACGGTTACAAAAACCAGCAATGAAGTACACAGTAAAAGAATCTATATTAAAACAAAACTGTAACATTTGAAACCCCATTCCTACCTATAAGCAGACACCACCCTTGATAGAGAGGATAATAAAAAAAAAAAACCGAAAGAACCTCCCAACACATTTGAACGAGGAACGTTTTAATCACAGACATAGGCCTGAAACACTCATACATTTGTCTATGACAAATCAGAAACACGTGGCCAATACTTATTAAACGGAAATGTTTATCACACACACATTTTCTGAAAAATGATTCTCTGAATCAGATGATAAACAAAAGTTATTTTCATTCCTGACGCAGCATATTGCAGAACACATGTACAGTTTCACTGCTGGCCTCTTCTCTCCTCCAGTAGGAGCCAATGCAAACACACAGCTCTGTGCTCTGCCTCACACCGAAGTCCCCATGCTCTGCTGCTCCTCCTGCAGTCTCAGGAAAAAGTCCTTCTTAAGTGGGACAGTTTTCTGCAAGTCAATAGCAGGCTCCTTATCTAGCGACTGATGCTCTTTGCGTCTTTCTGCCAGGATCATGGCACGAAGCAGAGGGGGATATGGCACAAAGCGTGGTGCTGAATCGGCTACAGGAACAAAGCGTGTGAGCTCCTCCTCCTGGTGTTTTGGCACCAAGCGCCAGTCGTGGTACATCACTTTGTCCACCTCCTTCACCTCCTTCTCCTCCTTCCCTGGAAAATCAAGGCAAGACAAAGAGAAACTCAATCTGCAGGCAAGTTATAAGTAGCCTTTTGGAAAAATCTTACATTGTATATGAGAATAAATCAACCAGTTCAACCTGCCTAAAGTAAATGTGAATACTTACTAATACTTATTAATAAACAAATTAAGAAAATTAAGAAAGCAGCATTAAAATGATTCAGATCATTATGGTACATCATAAAAATAACCGGTTCTATGCATGCAATAAACGCATAATCTACATAAATCCAGGGGTCAAATATCTTGTAAACCATGGGTACACTGCAGTGGGGTTGTATGCATCCTGCAGCAACTCCGAGCAGGACAATTAGGGCAGATGATAGGTGGATGATTAAATCCTATTGGACATAAACAAAAAACTAAAAAATACTTTGTATTAAAGTCAGATTAGTCTCACCTTTGAAGGTCAGGATGCCCCAGGCTTTCCCATGGTCCATATTCTTAATGAGAAGTGTGAAACAAAGATATTTTTACACAAACAAATACAGCCTGAAATTCTGATGAGCGAAGAGTAAAAACAGCTTCACACATACGTACCTGGGCGGTGTAGTCTGCCTTGACCTTGGTGATCTTCCAATAGCAAGGCTCATCGTGCTCCAACAGCCAGGACTTGCGGGTGAAGAGACGGCCAACCCCAAAGAGCCGCAAGCCGCTCAGCAAGGAGAACAGGCGACTCTCACGCTTCACGTCCTGCCAGGCCAGGACAGGCAGCTTCCTGCCCGAGTATGGCCGTGTCATGGTGTCATAGTCCAGGGCATACTTCTGCGAGTCGCGGGGTCGCTCTTTCAGAGCACGGTACTCTCTGACTTTGCGAGCCAGCTCTGCAATGGGGCGTACAGTCTTCTTCCTGGCCATCCTCTGGCACCTGCAGGTCTTAAGAAAACAAAAGAATTAGGAAGCAAGTAAAGACGTTGCTTTGTTTGGAGAGCGACAGTGACGTAAAACAGAAGAGACGCTTATTTACTGTTCACATGGTGTACGTCATGATTTACTAGTGCTAAATTCTGAGAGCACATCTGTGAGAATCGCTATGTTATGTTAACAGCATCAAACATTAGCGGAATTAGCATTAGCTTGTGTATATTTGCACAACAAATCCATTCCGTTCAGCTGTTCTATAGTACTTTTTTAAGTAAGAGGGTGGAAATTTTCAAGTTCCGAGTTATCAGGAATGCATCAATACAGTGCAATGTGTGATATTACTAATAATGAATTTGCCCTTTTTTTCCTTTTACATAATCCATGTATATCAACACAGACACTGGTATCTCTGTGCATTTCTACCAATCAGACGGTAGTGATGCAACCAGCTCGGCTTGGTCACGCTTTCAGCCCTGCTGCTAAGCAGGGCCAAGTCAGCATGGGTACGGGTCGGCTCACATACTTTGCAATGTTAAACTGTCAGTTCACGGTATGGGTCGGGTACGGCTTGATTTGTAGTGGCAGTGGAAAAGAGGTACAAGTCTCTACAGGCTGGAGTACTGGGTGTGTGGAAAGGTGATGTGTGCAATAGAGCAGGTGTGCTGAAAGGTTATTTCTGTTGGCCGAAAATGCATTAAATCACTTCAGAAAGAGACAAGATATTTACCAGACATATAGGTTAGGTACTTACGATGATTAAGAGATATATATAATTACATGCCTGTTTAATATTTGTTCATATAACGTAACACATTTCCTTTGCTTGTTTACACTTACTGCTATACTTTCAGAAAGTGCAAACAAAATTACATGAGTGGCTCCACCTACTTCATCACAGTCTTTCTGTCCACATGCCCACCTTTAGACACACCCACTACTGTGTTCTGTAAAGATTCACATCTCAATCACAGTATTGTTTTGCTGTCCAATGGAAACATGGTTGGTGCTCTACATTACAACACTGTCAAACACTGTCTGCATCTAGTTTAGCTACTACAGTTCAGCTAGAATAATTTACATTTTAGAAAAAAAAATCTCTTCAGTTCAATTTGCTGACAAAACCATTGTTTAGCCAGTGCTGAGACTATGACCAAGCGATCAGATTGGCATCTCATTTCACATCCTTCCTATTGGATTCATTTTCCTATTGACGTTACAAAGAATCTTCATCAAGTCTAATTAAGAACGAGAATATTGTTTAGGATTTATAACCTCTACATATATACAAGTGGTACATAAAATGTAAACATCTAACAATACCTCAACATCAAGGACTTGATAAGGTCATCCTGCTGCTGACTGTAAGACTTATTTTATAGCTGATAAAAAGTTCTGTTTCATAAAATGTTTATATTATTTGAACTACTTCTTGTACATGTACTGTACAAGTCAGAGAACTGGCATCTTCACGGAAAAACAACGTAGGATTCGAGTGTGTTTCATGTGCGTGAACCGTAGCTGTCATACATAATCCACAACCAGGCAGATTTTCCGACACGATAAAAGCTAGCAGCACCTACAGTAATAAATCGTGCATACGTAAGGACATGGGTACTAGTGTGCAGCTTTCCAGGGAAAGTAAACTATTATGAATAGTAAGTTAAAATATGCGAATAACTCATTCGGGGATAGGCAACAATCATGTCGAAGAATATATACTGTACATGTGTGGAAAATGTGATTCGTGAGAAAACCTCTAAGACTTGCAAATATTAACCAATTTTCCCTGTTCCATAAGGAAATGACAGAAACATTAAGCCATTACAAAACTGTCGCATTTGGCCGTTATAGGTAATAAAATAAATACAACAAAAATCAGACTAACCTGCTTTGAGTGTGACCTCCAGTGAGACGCTACTTCCGGTAACACTGCGGATTCCCAAACTCCCTCCGTGTAGAAACGTGACCGTGTCTTTGAGTTCCGGTAGTTTCTAACAATAAATCTGAAACCTGTCTGCCGTTTATTCATACCTGCTTGTCCTATGTACGGCATCAGGTAACAATTCCGTAAGCTGAGTTTACAAACATACAAGCACAGTTTGTCAGTTTGACTCGGTTTGCATTTATAAAGCACACTTTTAAAATTTGCTGTATGCTTCATCCAGATATTTATTTAATCCATAAATGAGAACAGGTGAATAACATATTCTCTACACCCGTGGTTCTCAAACCACTGGTGCTACATGAGCTCCTTCTAGTGGTAGTGCAAATATCTCCTTTTATGACGTTGGTGATGGAAAATGTGAACCGTGAGAAAAGTTGAAAGTTGATACTAAGCCTTTTTCACGCCAGTTCCTCAAAGAAAACACAGAAAGAAAGCACTGAAAAAATTCTACTTACTTTTGTACTTGATTTATGCTTTAAAACTACATGTCACTAAGCCTATGATATTCATTGATAGTTAATATTACTGTAAAGTGTCACTTAAAGCTGAAAAAAATATATTGTCCTTAACCACTTGCCTTAGGTTTTTGGATCTTTACAGAATGCTGACCAGCCCGTGTCAGAAGACAAGTGATTTTCACATCCAAACAGGGGACAGCAGGTATAAACGTTGTGGTGCCAAACAAAAGAATTTGCTGAGACAGACCCATATCATATTTTGGCAGACAGTAACATATTTACAAACCACAACATTTGAATGCACTTGTTGGGACTTATTCACCCAGCAGTATATAGAATACTACCTCTCCACTGTGTCACTGTTGACAAGTATATCCAGACCTTCCCAAACAACAAATCATGGATGACCGATGAAGACCAGCTTCTGCTGAGAGATAATGAGGTCTGTAGGTCTTGGGAACAAGTAGTTGTACAGCACTGCCAGGTCTAAACTGAAGAGGTACCAAAGATGCCTAGGCAGCCTATAGGCAGAAGATGGAGACTCACCTGCAGAAATCGCCGTCAAACATGGCATGACATTCAGCACCTTCCAAAGGACAAGGCGGCATGGCCCTGCCCTGCCCACCAGCCCGGTCAAGCAGCTGAACAAACCAGCTATTGACAGGTTCTCTGTATGTCTGTATGCATGCATGAAGGCATGTTAACATTTAGGAGGACGTACACAGGATGAATGAGTGAATCGTATATGTATATCAGAGTGTGTGCATAGACCCAAATTTGTATTTTATACTTGTTAGTCCTTTTATTTCCTTATTTATTAGTACGAATCAAGAAAATGCACCTTGATCTTGTTGTACTGCAGTGTAATGACAAAGCTTTCTATTCTAACCTGATGAGCTCATCAACACCCCAGCCACATCAATATGAAGCAGCTATGCACTCTATGTATGTTGATCTGTGCCATTTGCACAAGAATTCCTCCCCCCTGTAATCAGCATATTTTATCTTAATCCTAATCTGTACATGAAGCCAACCAAACAGAATTCAGAGAGAATCAAAGAATTACGCTACAAATATGTGGATCGCTGTGATAGGTTAGGTCCCCATCCTGGTGTATTTCCTGCCTTGCGCCCATTGCTTCCAGAACAGGCTCCAAATCCCTGCCACCCTGCATAGGACAACCACGTATGGAAAATGGGTAGATGGAATACGTGGATCAATTCACTGCACCCCATCAGCACTGCATAGTCATATGACTGTAATGTAGCATGCAGTGTGGCGCCAGATTGACAGCTCTAGCTCTATTCCTGTTACTGTAGGGTGGTTTTTTTGTTCTTTCTTTCAATCGTGAAGCAAGATGCTGTAGAAGTCCATCATGAATTCATTCTTATGGACAAGGCTGGATTTACACTTGCAATAATAATCCAAAGGGGAAGAAATATCATTGGTGACTATGCCATCGTGGGGGCAAATATTGTGTGTGTAGCTCATCGGCCAGGATGGCACCCTCTGTCAATGACCGAATGCCAAGCGGCTGACAGCACCCCTACATTGATATATCCCTGACACTGATCATTTCTGGCATAAACTCCTAGATATGCAGAAATGCAACCAGTATGCATCTGTAAGAACATAAGAACTCCTGACATACTCCTATATGATCAGTGTAAAGTATGTTGAGTCACATGCTTCGTGCTATTGACATCCTGTTTTCGGTCCATGCTTCTGATCCATGGAACTGTGCAGTAGTTTTTGCATTCCTTTATATTCTGGGAGCATGTAATAAAAGTAGTTATAACTATTCACTCAAGAATAACTGATGACTGTTTACAAGAAAAAAAAATCACAGAACACTAAAGAATGAAACTGTCATTCAATGATGACTCTTAAATGGTCTTGTACTAACTCTGCTTCACAGACTTATGAGTATCTTTTCCAGCATCAACATTGTAAGAAATAAAAAGTATGGATATACGTGTGAGAACGTCAAGGTTTAAACAGAACCTAGAAACCCAGTTGATACCTATGAATAAGCAGACCAGACCAAAGCCAACAGTCTGTTAGAACTGCAGAAAGATAGCATGCTTAAACATCATGTAGGATATTCTGGTATGGATCACTAAACCCAAATTTCAGATGAGTCACCAATGGAGTTTCTGTAGTGCAGGGAGCATATACATACACATGGAGATCTGTGAATTGGAACAAAGTGGAACTTTATATAACATGTGTTTTGACAATACATTTGGAAGTACCACCATAACTGTGAGAATAAGTACAGTAAATTAATTTGGAAATTAGTCCCGTTAAACCCAACACTGGGTATACAACTTTAACACAACCAATAGCTGTACTACAGGAAAACATGTTTACAAGTGTAACAAGAATGTTCAAATTGTAATTGACAATCTCACACACACCAAAGTTCCACTCTGAAGTCTGACACTTAATGCATTCGCCATTTCACCAATAATTACATCCAGAAGAAATCCAAGCACTACCCACAGTGCAATAACCTCTATATATTCTTAATTCTATATATAAATTATAATGAACATAATTATAATATGGGGAATTCAGTAACAACTGCTCCATTTAGAGATGTATAAACATTTTAAATTAAAATCATTAGAAGGGGAGAAAAAACAGCTCATCCACGTATTTGTACAGATACTTTGCCAATGTCCCAAAAATAAAAGCCAAATGACCGTTCCCTAGTCTGCTCTTTAAGACCAGAGGACACCAATAACAATGGCCGCACACACACACAAACACACAAAAATGACAAGTCACTAATATACGTGGTGCATGTACAAGAGGATCACTACCAACCAGAGGACTGTACAACGGCCTGGAAATGAGATCGATGCATTTTTCCTTTTGCTGCCCTCCCAGTGACCAGCGTAATGATGGTTTATTTCGTGGACAGAATGAGGGCTACAATGAGACCATAGAGCCCCAGAACTTCGGCAAAGATCAGAATGAGGATCATGCCAACGAAGAGGCGCGGCTGCTGTGCAGTGCCGCGGACTCCGGCATCTCCCACGATGCCGATGGCGAATCCGGCGGCCAGGCCACTCAGTCCCACGCTCAATCCTGCTCCCAGGTGCAGGAAACTCCTGGGGAGTAATACGGGTAAAGGAAAATTTAGGGATAAGTCTCTCCTATAATCTCTGCAGGTTTATATGCACACTCAGCTCAACGGGCACAATCAGGGTAACTCAAGGTGTTACCAAGGGTCTTTAGCGAAGAACGAGACCTACTTGAAAAGGGTGACGTTCTCAGACAGGCTGTTGGCGATCAGCACTGCGACCACCAGACCGTAGATGGCAATGATACCTGCCATGACCACGGGGATGATGGACTTCATGATCAGCTCTGGCCTCATCACTGACATGGCAGCGATGCCGGTGCCGCTCTTGGCTGTGCCATAAGCTGCACCTAGAGCTGAGGACAGAAGAGAAAGTGATGAGCAAAAGGCTGTGTACAGAAATCAGCATACAAACAGCACCGGAGGAGTCACAGTTAAAGCAGGTCCAATGAACTAATCTGCTAAGGAAATCTGCTAAGGACCATGCAGAAGTCAGTACACATAGCCTGCTTATCTCCCAGCTCCAGTCAGAGTACTGTTGCAATAACTAGGTATTAAAAAAAGTAATTGCTTCTAACAGCTAAAGGAAAAAGTGAACGTAAACTCAAGGTATACTTAGTGCTCTTCTGCTTAAGGACAGATGAATGTTGATTGACTTGTCAAGCAGCTGTTAGAACCACAGTGTTCCCTCACCAAAATCCCCCCTTACATACGACATACATGTTCTGCCAAGAAAACAGACACACATGCCAGCACAATCTGGAATATGGACAGTGATTCAGCCACCCTTTCTCAGCCATGCATCTACAAGAGCAAGGTCATCAAACCACAAGCACTCAGCTAAAGCTGTCATGTGTGTATTTCACAACTGCATGTGTCAATAGCAGTTTCGGTTCACACTCTTCCTTTGGGAAAACCACCTAAGACATAAAAAACCACTGGCAGCAGTATTGTGGTAGAACTGCATCACCTACATCAGTGGCCTGGAGAATTAACTCACCCTTCTCTGCAAAGAGGAGGACACAGCAAAGACTAGGACATTCCAATGAGCACCAACCACTGACAACAAATGAGAGGACACTGACCACATAATGGTTAAATGGACAGTGCCGAAAAAAGTGTCAAGCAGTCAATCAATAAAAGCCAATGAAATTCCAACAACCAGTGTGTCGCCTGCAGAAAGAAATGTGTATGATCTTCCTTACAATTATCACAGAGGCAGAATTTCATTTCAGACTCCAAAAACCATCATTTTCCTGCAGCCCTGAATCACTAAAGGAAACTGTCCAAAAACTAAGCCAACTTATATAAAAAGTACTACACATTATATATAGCATACAAAATTCCACCCTCACGGTATAGTGTCCTCTCAGGTCAAGAAGGACTGCATGCATCAGGGAAACCAAGAATTATGCTGAAGTTTCTTTTTTTTTTATCTCTTGTCAATCATCCATGGCAAATGGGTCTTAGAAGAGATGATGGAAAATCTACCAGCTATACTGAGCAGCAGTGATATCAAACTGTGCCTGCAGAGTGTGATCACACTGGTAATGGCTAAGACTGTTTCAATGTGTGAGGAAAAAGACAATGGTAAAGCGCTTTTACACATTTACCAAGAAAACCTTATAGACAGATACCAAAAAAACAACTTGAAAATGACAGACAATGGGGCATTCATTCAACATGCTACCGAGGAACTCAATTAACTTCCTCCAATATAATTAACTTCCTCCAACATAATTATGTTGACTTTTAACACCATGCCAGCAACTATGGCTATATTCATGGCGAGAGCATAGGGATAGTAACAGACTGAACTATCAAAAAGGTAAACTTCATAAATTGTAATAAAATGTTGCAGACTCTTAAAACAACCACAGCCTTTTTCATGTCTGACAGTTGATGTGCACATGGCCGAAAAATTGTGAAACTGCAAAGGAAGAATTATTATTGGAACATAAAAATAAAGCAGGAACCAAAAACAGCTGCAGGTATTAAAATGGAAATGGTTACTTAAAAAACAAGCATCTCATGCATTAGAGAATGTAAATGAATGGGGTGAGGACACGAGGGTGAGAACATCATCTAACAATGGACAGCAAAGAAAAAAACTGTCCGACTTTCATAAGCAGGAAAGAATATTGCCAGAATATTGATGGCACCTCATAATACAGTCCTTTAAAATGTACTGGGGGACAAATTTACTAAGTGAATTTAAAATTCCTGTGGTCTTGGTTCCTCTCGTATTTTAAATAGTACGCATAAATAAAATGGCAATATGTAATAAATATATTTTTCTTTTGGCAAGCCGGTAAGTCAGTTACACTTAAACTGTGAACCACCACATTGACCCAATTTAACCTGGTTAACAGTGAGCATCGTCACATACAGTTTTGTTAATTATTTCTCATTAAACAAAGAAACGAGGATCCTAGTCCGTAACGTTACTCCGACAGACGAAAACTGGACACCTGATATCTAGGCAGCTAGTCGCCTATGTTGGCAGAGGACGCTCTCTGTGGGTAGTTATATTACCTAACCAGCTAACCACAGTCAAGAGCCAGGGAAAAACAGCCAATGCATGAATATGGAATATTTATCACAAGGAAGAATAAGTCATATATAAATATAAATTGCAGGTAAAATAATACAAATGCACAGCGAAGAGAACGATGCACGCAGCCGGCCGACAATCTAACACAAAACCCCAAATCACACAGAGATTAAAGCCTAAACGTAAGAGACCCGATTACCGACAGCACGGACACCCCATCTCCCAAACGACATCACTCTAACGTCACACAAAGGTCCCGCACAGTCTGCTATCATGCGGCGAAGGCCGTTTAAAGGCCATTTTCCCCGAGGAAGCGAGGCGTATCCGGCGCTCGGTTACCGCTGAACACCATGGCTGCGGAGGCGCCCATCACCCCGAAGAACGGCGAGTACTCGGGGCTCGTGGAGGACATTCTCTCTCGTTGGGTATAAAAAACAAACAGCCTTCAAAAAACGGCCACGTTCAGATTGTATTTCAGTACTCTTAACGTGGAGGCAATGTCTTTCACAGGGTACTGATATCCTTTAAAATAACAGTAAGAGCGAATCTCCCCTCCTGTCTTCTTGCGAGTACCGGCAGACCGGAGGAAAATGGCGGGTCGTCAAAAGTCACCTGACGCCTATTCGGATCGACCCACGCATCTTCGGTAGGGGTAATAAATAAATTTTATCTTTAAGATTTTATACATTTAATATAATCAGTTTTATGTTTTTGAACATATACTAATAAATAAATATTTTTAGAGAAGAATATTATTTTCTTATTTTTAAAATATTTTATAGCCCCTGAATTACGGAGATGTTGGTTTATCCCGCCGCATGCCGTCAAAGTGGGGTCTCCTTTTACGATCTTGACAATAAAAACCAATACGTACAAAATTAACGTTGTGATATTTTACCGATTAACAGAAATGGTGGTTTTAGGCGAATGCTGCGCCGTTAACTTACACATCATATATGTACACTTATTAGATGCACGATAGCCCATATAATTTCTTTCCTATACATTGCAGAAACATGCATTTTATATGTGTTTTAATTAGCACTACCAATATGGCTTTGTGCGTCAAGAGAACATTTTTTGTATTTTTTCTGTGGTGGTGTATGGTTTTGCAGATTAGGTCTTTGTGGGCGTATTCAGATGGTTGCCTGTTTGAGTCCTATGGCTAGCGGAATACCCATGTCTGTGTTAGGTCCCTGAGCAAGGCCTTAACCCTCAGGAGTGCCAGATTATAATAGCTGACCCTGTGCTGTAACCCCAAACATTGTTCTCACGTAGGAGAGCAAGATGGGATATACACAAACTAAATGACAAATAAAAATATGATGATGTCATCTGCATAGCGCCCTGTACTGAGCATTGGCTTGGATTGAGTATATTTACTTGTGTTTATGAGCATCTCTCTATGACTAACACAAATGGAGATACTCTCTGTCAAAGCCCAGACCTGCCATAAATCAGCACTCTCCTGTAGTAACTCATTTTCATTTACTTATTCAAGTTCCAAAGTTTTATTTGTCACATATGCAGTTATACCCAGTACAATGTGTGAAATGCACGGTTGCCTAGCTCCAGACTGTAAACAGAAGACATAAGTGTAGGAGACAGGTCATAACCTATTAACAAACATTAATCATTAAATAATAATCACAGTCTTTTCAACGTCTCTTCACTCATTTTTTCACTTATTTCAGCTGTTCTTCATCTGTTCCCTTGTGGCAAGGAGATGGCTGAATAATGTATCCTTCATCACAGATGGGAGCCCTCTCAAAGTCCAGGGAAGGTCACTGGGAAAGGACCGTAAATAAAACTTGGACCAAAGTATGACTAAACGACAGCATCTGTGACAGTGGTCAGCCGTCTATTCATGGCTCTTATTAGATTAGACCTCAAAATCAGAGCGTCAGCGTCAAAGAACAGGTTTTTCAAATTGTACTTTATACATAAGCTCTAGCTTGTGTCATATCATTGGTCTTTAAATGATTTCAGCTGCACTATCTCCATTGCTTGTTCTTCATCAAATGAATAAATATTGATGCAAATGCGTATTGATTTTATTAAGCATACAGAAAGAGTTTTATATGGGGGTGACTGAACTTTTTAAATTGCAAAGGTCTTTTTATTAGGCGGGAGAATGAAGCCAAATTAAATACTGGGGGGTTCATGTCTCTCATACTGTAGCTCCCTCGCTCCTGCTACACAGAATTCCAGTTCCACTCAGTTTAGTACTGTGGATAGGATGTCACTGAACAGAAGACTCCAGCATTGCATGGTTGAAATATCAATTCCACTTTCTTATTAGATAAATTCTTCATTAACTTCCACCCCTCTGCCATGTTGCTATGGACATCTGATGCCTCTTCAGCTAATGGAGTGTGGAAATGGTGAGCAATGCAGCGTCAGACTGCAGGCCCGTTCAGTGTCCTCTGTGACACATACAGATGCATCCATGGAAACTACATCTGTGAGAATCACTGTTAGGGTTTGTGTCACAGGAACTTTTACAGCCCTGGATTTTTTTGACACCAGAGTAATATGTATATATAAGAGAGAGAGAGAGAGAGAGAGAGAGAGAGAGAGATAGATAGATAGATAGATGGATGGATGGATGGATGCCATGGGGTTTTCTCCAGGTACTCTGCCTGAGGTTAATTAGAATTACCAAACTGTCCATAGGTATAAGTGTGACCCTAAACAGGATAACTGATTACAGACAATGGATGGATGAACAACCTATATCCTGTTACTTAAATCTGAGCGAGTGGGAAGTTGACTTAGGGAATAATTCACAGTTTCACAGTGAATCCAGACTTTCACTTCTGTCATTCAGTTGGTCATGTGAGATTCCACATCAAAGAAAAACCATTTTGTTACACTTTGTGGCTGCAGCCTTGCCAAATCAAATCCAAAACATCTAAGTAATGCATTTATCTTTCTCCACAGAGTCCCAGCTGTTTCGTAAGAACATACGAAATTTACAAACGAGAGGGGGCCATTCGCCCATCAAGCTCGTTTGGGGAGAACTTAACTAATAGCTCAGAGTTGTTAAAATCTTATCTAGCTCTGATTTAAAGGAACCCAGGGTTTTAACTTCTGTTACACTAGCAGGAAGACTATTAGAAGTGCTTCCTCAAATTTGTTTTAAAATGTTCTCCCGCTAATTTCCACTTATGGCCACGAGTTCTAGTATTTAAACTAATATTGAAATAGCCATTTGGCTGAACAGCATCCAGACCCGTTAGAATCTTATAGACCTGGATCATTTCCCCCGTTTCAGTTTACCTTTCCATTCATTCCTGAGTTAAGAATTGTGACAAATGTACCAATTCAGTAACCTCATTCTGGGTCACGTGACATATAAACATTTGCATAAACATTCGAGATGCATTAAAGTGTGACCATTGCAGTAGCATTTGTTGTCCAGTTAGCATTTGTTGACATGCCTAGTTCCTTGTGTTCCTATGCTATCAGAGTGGAGAAGGAAGAACCATGGCTGAGTAGAATGATTGGTAACTTCATGAGGCTCTCAGACATACATTTGTGCTGGACTACTGTGCTCTGTTTGCTGGTAATGCTCTCGCTGCCAGTGGTCTTACTCATTGCTGACACTCTAAGCAGAAAAAAATGGTCAGCCTTCGTGACATGGGACTGCATATTGACTGTCACTTTTTCAAGCTGATCTTGTAGTCCCAGAGGTGTCAACTTTAAAAACTCCCCAGGACATAGAAAAGCCTGTCTCTATTCTCAATAAACCTAAAGACAAGCAATAAAGTTCAGTGTCATAATTTGTAAGGTATGGACAAGTTTGGGGTATGGAAGCTACTGTGTGTGTATGAAACTAAACTAACTACACTGATTCCTTCAAGAGTGAATTAAATCTTGCTGTTCAGTCACCCTCTTTTTCACCGACCATAGGTATAATTTAGTATATATAATTATATGTAATATATAATGATATATACAATATATGTGGAATATATCATGACATATACAAGTTGATTGTAATATACAAATGGGATCTTTAGAAAATGTAGTCACAATAACGAAACAATTAATTAATATAAATAATAATATTGTCAGCTATCTGGCGTGAGATTTTCAATTCGAGTCTGCACGCTCATTTACATGTATGTGATAATTTTATTTATAATTTTTAACTACCCCAACGCTTCTGATGTCGCTATTTTTAGGTTAGTAATGGATTAATACAGATTCTTTGCATACGCGTGAGAGTCAGAAAGCGTGACTGTATGGCCAGATGCGTGAGAGTTGCCTGAGAGTTTTCCTCCCTAGTGGTAATAAGAAGGTATTCCGCTACTTCTTTTGTATTGCGGATGAAAATGAGGGCAATTGTTGTCGCTAGATGGCGGGGTGTATCCTTTAATTATTATACAACACATACCAGTTATTTTTCTAATCGAAATATACATAAGCGTTATTTCTTATTTTAGTACTTGTGTGACTTGTAAATGTTTTTTGAGAGGTTTATTAAAAGTTCATGCGCTGAGGGACCGCAGGAGGTATTCCGGAATGTATCCTGTCAGCTGACGGCAAGGCGTGTCACATGACACAGAAGTTCGGTCGCAAAGCAAGTGCGGAAAGCAGCTGGACGCCGTGCTCCGGTGGGTGTCTTCCTTAGTGCCATTTGCATGCTATTTTTTTTTATTTAAACGAACGATTGTCAGACGAACTGTTTATAAAAACAATGTTTTTACAGGGAATGAAAGTTGGCGAGGAAAGAAAAATCTGAGGACACGTCCATCTGGTTACATATAACTGTTTTTATAGTTTGAATGCGCTTACTTCCATGGACTATGTCCCACAATAAATGATATAAGAAATCGTTGAGCTGTGCTCAAAGGTCAGCGTCAGTCACAATGCAAACGGCAGATGTGTACTGTCTTAATGTTTTATTTGTGTGTGTGATGTTAGATTTTAATTGATATGTTCTTTATGCACAACCCCCCCCCCCCCCTTAATTCATAGAGGTACCTCAGGTTTGAAGCTTTCCTTGAGTACATGAGCTAAAGCAGCATAATTGAATTTCGCTTTTCGCTTTATTTTGAAGTATTTGTTGGTCCAGCCTGGGAAAGATGCCGTCTAACAAGTCTGTGTCTGAAGAGCCGATCACACAGTTCGTTAACTGCAGAATCCTGAAGGACCACCAGCTACAGAGGTACATGTGCAGGCGAAAGTGATCAGCATCGTCCAGGCGATGATAGCCAAGGATTAATGATGATAACTGGAAACTATGTTTCTGGCCTGGTTTTCCCTTATGGACCTACATTGAGCCATGCTGACTGTGCTCTCATCTTCCGTAGGGAGGACCTGTGGGTTCGAGAAGGGAAAATCCTAAATCCAGAAAAGCTGTTCTTTGATGAGGAAGGCTATGCAGATCACCAGGTGGACTGTGAGAGCAAAATACTTGCTCCAGGTTTCATTGATGTTCAGATCAATGGTGAGATATTTCATCCATCCATCTATTTTCCGTAATTGTACATCCAAGGCAGGGTTTCAGGAAATCTGGGGTCTATTCCAAAATGCACAAGGCAAGGAGCGTCTTGTACAGGATGGATTTAGTGATATTGGTTCCAGCAATGCCTGGCACTAATGCTTACAATGATCTTCGCCTGTAGGTGGGTATGGAGTTGATTTCTCACAAGGATGTGATGTTCGTGGCGGTGTGGCCTTGGTGTCCAAGCGGCTCTTGGAGCATGGTGTGACTTCCTTCTGCCCCACACTGGTGACCTCCCCACCTCACATCTACCACAAGGTTCCTCTTATGTCTTTAAAATACTACCTTGCTTGTGGACAGAATCGCTCCTAAAGGCAGGAGTTGAATCTGTCTTTGGCTTCTGTTGGTTCAGGTCCTCCCAGAGATGGAAGTTCATGATGGAGGAGCTGAAGGAGCAGGGGTTTTGGGTAAGAAAATCAGGATATATGGTAGAGGTGGAAAGTTCAGGTTCAGAAAGTACAAATCATGACCAAGATTTTGGTTGAACCAGGTAAGTATAAAGAGTCACAGTCACAGAGTACAGAAACAATACCTTGGTCTTGATTTGTACTTAATGGACCTGAACTTTCCACCTTTGACATATAGAGACCAGAACACTGCTGATGTGCGGTAACTGAATACCCAGAAGGGTTTGCAATCATTGACGGCAGGACAGTATTGATGCTTTCATTAGGCTGAATGTTCCCGATTGAGATCCATGGTGTCATTCTCATCCTTAGATGCAGTTCCTCTCCTCCTCCTCCTCCTCACCCATCCTCTGGTTACCAGCCCATCGTGTCTCTGCTAAGTCTCCCCTGATTGTGTTTCATGGGCAGGAGTTCACCTGGAAGGCCCGTTCATCAGCAGAGAGAAGCGGGGAGCCCATCCGGAGCACTGCTTACGCAGCTTTCAGCAGGGGAGTCTGACAGACTTACTAGAGGTCTACGGCAGCCTGGACAATGTGTCCATTGTCACGCTGGCACCAGAGCTTCCGGGCAGCCCGACTGTAATCCAAGAATTGGTGAAGATGGGGGTGACTGTGTCTCTTGGTATGCCCGTCACCTTCACAGACAGGTGTGAGAGTGTCCCTTTCCTGTGAACATGTCCCTTATGTCCCTTACTGTCCTATAGGGCATTCAGTGGCAGATCTGTCCCAGGCAGAACAGGCTGTCCAGCAGGGGGCAACCTTCATCACACACCTCTTCAATGCCATGCTTCCGGTGAGTGCGAGGACTGTCCCCCTGTGCATGGGCTGTCCCGCCATGAGCTGCACTGACCGTGTTCTTCTCTATTCTTAGTTCCATCATCGGGATCCTGGCATTGTGGGGCTGTTGACAAGTGATCAACTTCCACCAAATTGCACAGTTTTTTACGGGATGATTGCGGATGGCATTCACACGAATCCTGCCGCCCTTCGAATAGCCCATCGTGCTCACCCTTCAGGTGAAGGCCATAGAGACGGGCTCTGCTGTGTTACCGTCGTACCAGCTGTCTGTAGCTCCTTGCTGTGTTACCGTCGTACCTGCTGTCTGTAGCTCCTTGCTGTGGTACCGCCATATCAGCTGTTGGTTGATGTTCCTGTGTGCCAGGCTTGGTGCTGGTGACAGATGCCATCACAGCCATGGGGTTGCCCCCAGGACATCACACCCTCGGCCAGCAGCACATCCAGATCGACGGGCTGCATGCTTATGTGGCAGGTGTGCAGTGTAGTGCTTGTGCTAGGGGGCAGTGTTTGGCACCGTGGGTTAGAACTGTGTAGGTCTGTGATTGGAATTGGCTCAAATCTCGCAACTGCCAGTGTGATGTCACAGTTGTGCCCTTAAGCAAAGCCCTTAACCCCCTAACTGCTACAGGGGACTCACACTGACCCTTGTCTCTGCCTCTCAGCTATAAGTTGCTTTGGGCAAAAGTATGTGCTGGATAAATAAAATGTAATGTTCTCTACTAGTGCGTCACTACAGATCTGTCTGTCCTGTACATTCAGGCACCAACACCCTGTGTGGGAGCATCGCCACCATGGATATGTGTGTCAGACACTTCCGAAAGGCCTCTGGTGGGTCTTCACTGTCGGCCCCTGGGCCTCTGCCCTAAACCCAACCCCAACCCCAACCCCTAAGGCTGCAGACAGCCCTCTTACTTAGTCCTGCTGCTCCCGGTTCAGGATGCTCAGTGGAAGCTGCACTGGAGGCTGCCTCTCTGCATCCAGCCCAGCTGCTGGGGATCAGTCAACATAAAGGGACCCTGGACTATGGCTCAGATGCAGGTGGGTGATGGTGAAGGGTTCGCCACCATTAGTGCTGAGAATGCTGGGATACCCACTGGGAATGAGGTTGTTCTCACCTCTGTTCTTATATATCTCTTTGACAGACTTTGTCCTACTGGACGATTCCTTGCATGTGAAAGCTACCTACATAGGTGGAGAAGAGGTTTGGCGGAAGTGATGTCATTTCCTGTCTACCGTGATGACCACAGCAGCTCTGCAGTCCAGCTGAATGAGCTCAGCTTGTTGTGGTGCCGCTCCTCTCCGTAAAGCAGGACACAGGGAACATGTTGTCACACAGGAACCTCCAAAGCCCACAGAACAGTGTCTTCAAAGAGGCAGCCACTGTAAATCCTGATACAGCTCCTCTTTAAAAGCACGCCTTGTTTATCTGCATTTCACTTTGAATGTGTCCCTTGTTAGAGCTGATTCCTGTCCAGCCCTGGTGATGAATGTCTTCACATCATGGTGTCTCCACACAGTCTTCACAAAGAATGGAAAATAGTCTCTCTCTCTCCATCTGGGTTATCTGGAGTAGTGACATTTTGTAGCTATACCTGATTTTGTAGCTATGCCTTATATTCTAAATGTGAATAATGTGCCACCATAAATTCTGTAATTCATAAAAAAATTTCAGTATTCAGATTATAATACATCCAAACAAATAACTGTGGCTTGTTTATTGCAAATTTGAGTCCAGAGTTGTTTAAAAACAGGGGAATCTCTACCTCAGAGATACCCATACAACTACTCAATAACTATGTTTTGACTGAGGATGTAAGCTTTTCTGTCCAGTGCCCTGGATTTCAGGATACCAGCTCGGCATTTGACAGAACGGGAAGCAGGGAGTCCAAGTGCAGTGTCTTGATAGCTACAGGTCAGGTGTGTTATGATACTGACGTATCTATCATTTACGAAATGACCCTAATCGATAAGCAGCCCTGTGCTGGCAGTAACTGGCTGGTCCCATGTGTCTCTGCATGTCTGCCTGCCGCTTCCTACCAGTCCGGGTTTTATACTGGTCACTTCAGTTCTTTCTTCTTATTCAGATTTAAATAATGTTACTGTAAAAATTTTATATGGTCCTTTTTTGGTGCTGTGGCTCATGCCTGCAGGACTGGGGCTTTGAACCCCACCACTGTGGTCATAATATCTGATGTTCACAGCCCCCATGATGGGCTCTGGCCTGAAGTGCTAATGTGGCGTCATTCCCTGACCACTGACGCCCCCTAGTGTGCAACAGGAAACACTGCATAAACATGTACACCTGCTGTTTGGTGACTCAGTGATGCAAAATCCCTTCTCAAATACCCGCAAAAACCAAGCAAAGGCTACACAGATGCCTCTCAGGTGCAATCATCCAGGATCTTCTTGGTGTCCTTGTCACATTAATCTCCAAGGACCTGCCATTTGCTCAGCTGCACGCTGACGGATGTGCCCCTTCTCCTGCCTGCAGTGTGCTTTGGCACACGTCTGTATTCATCAAATAGCCGCTCATTAAAGCCTTTGTTTTCCTGTCTATGAAGACCTTTATGTAGAAATGATACCTTTCACAATACAGTTTAACCAGTTACGTTTCTTAAATGTGTGCATGTATCATGTACGTTCCATTTAATTATCAGACACCTTTGTCTGGATCAGGGTCAGCCAGTGTCTCATGAGGAAATGGGGTTAGAAGCCTTGTTTGAGAGTCCAGTGACTATTATTCTTAGCCCCCGGATTTGAACCCACAACCTTCTGGACACTGGCATTAACCCACTGAGGTACATGCTATCCCAAAGCCAATGCTTGGTTTTCCCCGGCTAGCTGAATTGTGGGAAATTTCCCAGGATCACTATCTCACTATTAGTGACAGTAATTTATACTTTGCATGGTAGCGTCTCCCTGCAGTCTGAAGCAGAAATGTACCTCTGGCCAATCAAACATGGCTCCCAGCTGGACTGCTAGAGGCTCGCCAGTCATCTAGTGATGTGCATGATCCCTGCTGTTAGGGCGTGTGTTTAGCAGCGGGAAGTTAGGGCTAAGCAATTACTCACATTTTCATTTCAATTATGATTTTGGCTTCCAATGATTATCACAAAGTAATCGAGATAAAATGATCATCGTGCCACATTCTGTTTCACATTCCATCTTGTGTTATAAATCCAGATCACCCCTTTCCAGCCCCATTTTGTTTCTCAGTTTATATTTAGAGTTGAAGAATATCCACTGTTAAAAAGACAAGTTCAATAAATGCACAATATTTCCAGTCAATGAGTAATCATGCTCAATAATCATGATCTCAATACCAAATAGTCATGATTTTTGCCATAATTGAGCACCCCAATGGAAATGCTTCTTATCATGATGGGAAAGACAGTTTAGATGTGATCCAAAGACCATGTGTGCGCTGCCTTTCCCTCACTGCCCTGTCCATCATACGGTTCTGGAATTGTGTGCTGAGCACCACTCCTCAGAATATGTATGTTTTTTTTATTTCTGTTTCACAGTTTTTCTCTTTGACAAAACTAGGACCTAAGTTCTCTCTCAGATTGCTGGTAATCCAAATGAATCGCTCCGAGTTTTCATTTCTTTGCTGTTTTACTTCTTTTGATCGCAGCAAGAACTTAACCTTTCTCCAGCTTACCTACTACTATTTCTGTAGTTCAATGCGTTGAAGAAAAAGTATAGAAGTAAAACCAAAAGTATTTAACATCAATTGCCAGTAGATTCTTTTCATCACTCATTGGCATTATATATCACTGAAGTGTCCTCCGACTGAGGCATTGCCCAGTCAAAATGTCACCCCAGGAAAGTGGAGATGAAGACGCTGGTGTCCAGGTTGAGTGTGGCATGCCACCAGTGGTCAGGGAAGTACAGAACCTGTCAGAAGTAAGAGATACCACCAATAAGCAGCAGCAAGCCATTAAAACACAAGGAGGCACATCCCAGGACAGTACCAGCCAGCCTGGTAGCAAGCTTCTTCCACTAGACGCTAATAGATGCTGTCCTGAAGCTGAACGTCATACGGTATAACTGCAGTGCTCTAACCTCCCCTGGTCGGATGGTGCACTCCAAGGGTCTCTGGGTGGCTGTCAAGGTCGGGTATGTCTCTGTGACCCAAGACAAGGTGGTGCGGTTGGGGTGGAACTTTGGCTCGTGGTTGGGGGGGTAAAGGAACCAGCGCTGGGAGGAAAACAAATAGGAACGTGTCATGAACTGTTCAAGATCCTAGAATAAAAGAGTGCACCCCACCCTGAACTGCTCAAATTACCTTTCTGCCATGGATGACCTCAGAATATCCTGGACCATGCCAGTGGAAAGGCACGCCAGTTCCTGGACCTGTGGGACATTCCGGGGATGTTAGTGAGCAGGTGAGTTTTGGGTAAGGATACAAAAGACTGTTTCTGCAGCCTAGGACTCTACAGACCTGCGATTCCAAAGCTATAGGCCCCCCTGGTATGTGGCAGAATATAGCTTGGTGAATGGTACTTCTCAAACAGGCTATGCCACTCTGTGAAATTGTTGTCTCCAAAAAAATAGAGGGTTTCTGTTACGAACAAGAAACAGCAGAGCCAGAATTAGCGGTGTGCCAGTGTCGCCCAATGACAGCTGCAGGTAGCTGGTCTGCTCCTCTACATCATTTTATACTGAAGTAGACTATGTTCATTCAGCTGCTCTGCTCCTGGTTGCTATTATGTTATATAAGCAACTCAGTAGCAGTAGAAAAAAAGAGATACAGACCACTTCCGAGAGCACTGAAAGACTGAGGCTTCAGCAGGTATTCCACGAACTCATGGAATGGAACATCCACTGTGAAGGGAGGCAGGACATCAGACCAGGCTTAGACAGCAATAAACACGGGAGCCAGGGTTGTTATATTAAACAAAAACTAAAACTATAAGAAAATATTTTCGGAAGCTGAAATTAAATAAGATACAACAATAAAATAAAAATGAACTAAATAAAAGTTTAAATATTGCTTCTGAAACTACCTGTAATAAAATAAAATCAACATCAAATGCTTTCTGTTACTGTATTCATAAAGGATTGTTTAAATATCAGAGACATAAAATAGCTCTACAACATTGAAACTATCCCTAGAAATAAAATTGCTAAAACTTAAACTATAAATAAACTATAAATTTGGGGCCTTTTTCACTGACCTTTTTGGTAAGAGTAAGTGTTAGCTGTGCTCAGTCTAACCAGCCGCTCCCCAAACTCTCGCAGGAGATGGTCCTTTGAGCACATCAGCTGGAACTCCTGAGGATAAAATGGAACAGGACAATACAGTCTAAATGAATGGAACAGGAGAACACAGTCTAAGGGAATGGAACAGGAGAACACAGTCTAAGGGAATGGAACAGGAGAACACAGTCTAAGGGAATGAAATAGGAGAACTAAGCAGATGTGTTCTCCAGTGCCAGTGCAGTGCTTCCCCTACTTCCCCTATAGTTTATGTTATATTAGGGGGGCGCCCCCCCCCCCCCCCCCAACAGCACCTCCCGCCCCCCCCTTGAAGGTCAAGTTAATTTTATTTTCTATATAGCGCCAGATCACAACAGAAGTCATTTAAGGTTACCTTTCCTATAGAACAGGTCTATACATCGTCCTTTTATTAAACAAACTAAATAGCCTTATATGTTGTTTACAATCCTCCTCTGCTCTCTGTATCGCACGTGGCGGATACGTGGCAGAAATGTTCTGATGTTTAATTCAGTTGTTATATTGACTGCTGTCATCAAAAGAAACACATGATCGCCATGAATCCTGTCGGTGTACCCCCCCCCCCCCCAAAGCTGTAAACCTAGTGTAAACACTGCAGGAGAACACAGTCTAAGTGAATGGAACAGGAGATCACAGTCAAAGCGAATGGAACTGAAGAACGCAGTCAAAGCAAATGGAACCGGAGAAGGCAGTCAAAGCAAATGGAAATGGAGAACAGTCTAGGTGAATGGATATTGGAGAACAGTCTAAGCAAACGGGACTGGAGAAGCCAGCCAAAGCGAATGGAATTAGAGAATGCAGTCAATGCGACAGATGTTCTGTCTTTTGTTGTCTTTTCTTAACTATGCTACTGCAGAGGGTGTCTGAATGATTTCATTTTTCATATTGTCCCCTAAATGCCAGCTCCTGACGACCAGGAATTAAACTGCTTCAATCGATCTTTTCAGAATATCACGTATTTTTCCTCTTAGTGAAGGGCTGTGAACACAAAACTGACCTGTACCGAACCGTAAACTGTGTGTACCGTTAAACTAGTAGCATGTTCTTACCGTATTATCGGACAACCCTCTGATAATAACTGGTTTGTTGTAGGCATACCTGACAAAACAAGGTCAATAATTTTTCAGTGACGTGATAGGTAAATCTATCGGTCGGAAATTATTTAGTGCAACTGCGTGAGCTACGAGAGTACCTACCCCTGGATAAACTGCTTATAGGTCAGCGAGGTGTCCCATATGTCGATAGTGCAGGGACCCTCATCAGTCAAGCTGGAATCTGCATGTGAGGACCTGTTCAGTACAGATAATACAAATAATATGTCATAAATCACGATCGATAGCGGCTAGATGTCTGCATAATGAAAGTGCTCTATACCTTGCGTGGAGCTGCAATCGGGAAAAATATGGCAGCATTTTGTAAAAACACCAGTAGGACGAACGTAGAGGTCTGCGCGGGACTGTTTTTTTAGTCCCGCTCCCGCAAGGTTTTATTCCACACCCACCCGCTCCCGCTATATATTCACTCTTTGTTCACCCGCTGCCCGCTAGTGATGGGAAGTTCGGATCATTTTACCGACTCGGACCTTTGAGTCTTGTTCAGCAAAATGAACAAATCTTTTTTCGAGTCATTTCGTTCATTTTAGCAAAATATAATTAAAATGTTACCTGTTACCTCCCTAACACATCTACTGCTTACACAAATGTTGATCACACTACAAACAAGACAAAACTATAATGCTATAAGAAACAGAAAATATTAATTCATTGTTTACCTAGGTCTTTAGTCTATGATTCGCTCACCTCGCCTCTTATCTGTCAAGTTTTCGGGTTTAAGTCGTTCGTTCATCATGTGACAGCCCAATTAACTAACCAAGGCAGTCTGAGCCAGAAAAAGAATTGATTAGTTCATCTCTTCAGTCTTCGGGTTTGAGTCGTTCGTTCATCACGTGACAGCCCCATAAGCTTAACCTATGCAGTCTGAGCCGGAAAGAGAATTGATTAGTTCATTCCTCGAGTCTTTCGAGTCGTTCATTCTTATGTTATGTGACGTGACAGCACTGGATATAGAAATTAGTTACTAATTTACAACCTTCCTTACAAATGGGTGCATAGTTTATTATTATTATTAATGTTTAAGTTATCATAACCTTAATATTTTAAACTAACCTTAATTATTCAAATTCAAAATGTTACTTGCTTTTACTTTGTCATTATGTCCTTTTTGACCAATCTTTTTATACAAATATTAGATCAATATGTTAAGTCTGCATAGGAAAAACAATTATTATACCAGGAAACTCAAAATTGGAGTAAAAATTAACACTGCCATAGAATAGTGTACAATTATTAACTATAAGTACTTTGTAATTGTAGGCTTGGATTATTTTATTATATAGCCTAGTGTTTGTTTACTGATAGACAAAGACAATGAAAGGACAAATTTATCAATAATTTATTTGTAAAAGGATTATTTATTTATAAAATAACACACCACAGATCCTCAAGAAACAGTAACAAAATCATAGTGACAGAAATTGACAGACCTTTTTTATTTATAAGGAAATGTGTTTTAGATATTTTTGATAATTTTATAATTTCTAAATATGATCCAACATACAACAAATGGAATTTTACGTTAGTATTTGACTGAGGTACTGAGCCGGTAAATGGTCACGTGACAAAAGACCGAACGACTCGAAAGACTCGAGAGATGAACTAATCAATTCTGTTTCCGGCTCAGACTGCATACTAGAGCTTATGGGGCTGTCACGTGATGAAAACCCGAAGACTGGAATCAGGTGAATCAATAATTCAAATACAGAAACTATAGCTACTGAACGAATCACTCCCAAGAGACGACTCCTTCTTCCCGAGTCACATTAAAGATTCATTCAAAATGAACGAATCGTTCAAGAACGACCCATCACTACTGCCCGCTTACAATAATTTTCTTCCCGACCCGACCGTTCCCGCTAAATTTTTTATGTTTCCAGAATCTCACATTTAAACCGCCAGAGGGATATCAAAAACGGATTGCCTTGGCAAACAAATTCAACACATTTCTCTGTTGTCTCTTTTTTCAACTGCTCTGGCAACGGCCTAGACTTAGTAAATGCCAGTTTGGTTTGCCCCTTTGTAATGAGGCATGAGTGCCACCTTAAACCAGAGGTTCCAGTCTTGTGACTGCTAAACATCAAAACTTTTAGGCATTTATCGCAACGTGCAAAGGGTAATTTTTTTACATCTGCATCTATGACACACGAAAAAGACTCCCATACATCAGACTTGCCCGATGTGGGTTTCTAACAGTAAACTGACCATCTTCTAGTCCAAACTGAACGTCCTTCAAGAACAGCGCATCCACACTTTGCTCTGCCATCCCGGGTACTGATGACCGTTATGCAAATCCTGCGTGCACAGACCTTGCCAATAAAATGCGTGACGCAGTCCATGCGTGGAACGCGTGCATAACAGTCATGAGCGCAGGCCATACAGGTGCTCGATAAGATTGAGTAAAGCGCAGATATGCTGTTCAGAAAGGACGTCGGGAACGGTATATTATTAGACCGCCCGCTCCCGTCCAAATTACACCAGAGTTACCGACCGCTACCGCGTTTTGTTTGTAAATTTATTCCCGCGTAGCAAAAAATCTGGTCGGGTCCCGCGGGAGAGTCGCGGGAATGCAGACCTGTAGACGAAGGGTCTTACCAGCCTCCATTGTCACCTGGAAACTCAGTTGTAGCAGATATTCCAAATAAATTGAAGTAAAATACAAAAATCCCTGGATTACATTTCATATTTTAAACCGATATAATAAAATTGCGGATAACTCGTAATTTACCGAAGTTTTTAATTGTTCAAACGTTATCCGTATTAGGATGATGAGTATTTTGAACACTTAGTTCCTGCCACCAGGAGCCAGCCGTTTCGTGACACGTCTAATTTGACTGTCCATCGGTGTGGCATCCAATAGCAGGAGGAGAGAGCGCTAAAGCAAGACCAAGCGACACACAGCGTTCCGTCGAGGTGTCTTATGGGATATGAAGTCTTCAGAGAGCCGAGGTTGGCATAATGAATACGTGTATTTCATTACTCGACAGCGTGTATTCGGTCTTAAGTATGGCCATAGGAAAATAATGTTCACAATGAGCAAGCTGGGCCCAACAGGGTGTGTCATGTGATTTACTGGCATCTAGCCAAAGACAGTGAGGGGCTACATTTAAAAGTCTGTAAGCCTGGTAATGAAAGTTCTTAAAATGACAGAAAACAAACAAATACATAAAATTACACATTTTGTCAATTATTTTAAATGTACATAAAATACAATCTCTCAAAGTCTTTGAAATCAGTCTTTGAAATACTGCCCATCTGTTCACAAAAGCGGCTTCATTCTCTGATGGTGCTTTTATTGTGATGTGTGTGCGTGCATACAATAGCCCTGACAGCATTAGGAGAGGCAGAGGTTTTTGAAAATTGCACTGTAGTATTGGCCTATACATCCACACTAGGGAAACTTAATATACTGTCTTGACAGTCAGTTAAAACCAGCCACAACTTGAGTAATAATAGACCTCAGAATGGGCTGGGATATCCCTGACCTGTCAGCCAGTTCCTGTTGCTATGTTCCAGGGCCATTTCACTTGTAGACATCATAAACTGTCTACGGCAATACGTCGCATAAACGGCAAATTTTCTATCATGCTTAAGTGAAATTCCATTTGATCACAGTTTTCTATTCATGCTGGCTTCCACCTGGAAGTGTTTATATTACAGCATTTAAGTCCTTTGCTCCATGGATTTTGGGCCATGCATCAAAATAAGTCACATCAGTTTTATACGTAAAATAGAAATGAACATAATAAAATGTACATAATAAAACATTACTATACATTGGTATATGCATGGTGTCCGTAAATGTTTTTGTTCATCTACAGAATAATAAGGTACACAGACGGACAGAGATAATTCAGAATTGGGAGTGGAAAAACATTTGCGTCTGTCTCATTTTCTAATGAAGTACACACAGATTATTACTGCAACTGCCCAGATATGTACCTTCCTCAAAGTACTAACAATTAAGTCAGCCGAACCGTGTTCATGCAGTTAATACGAATTGAAAGCCTAGTGACATTGTGACGGTTACTTGTGCCCCATCAAGTAAAGTATTATCGGCGATTACTAGTGAGGTGATAATTGCAATTTTGTATAATATACATTTAATAAATTATAATAACGGTCGTCGATAAAATTTTGGAATTAAAGTAGCCTACAGGGGGTTGTATGTATAAGAAGTTGACTTCTTGCGTCATTTAGCCTTGCATATCAGCATTAAGTATGCGTCGGGGTGAGCGATCACGTTTAAATGTACTAAGTCAATTTTTCCATTCAACCGTATAATGTAATTTTTGTGGCTTTTTTGTGCACTTCCCCAGGAACAATTGAACTTGGTGCACAGTTTTCACACCGGGTGACTTTAATAGTCGGAACACTCTTCACACGGGAATACAGTACCCCAACCTGGGATATCTTACATCTTTGGACATTTATATTTTGCCATGTAGATTACAGCGATTTGCGCCCGTGACATATAGGCGATTTTCATAAATCTCTTTCATCCACATAGACCTTGTCTTAATGTCAGATTGTAACTGCTGCTTTTGCTACTGAACATGGATCCTGACAGCGCGGAGGAAGCCATGGCAGAATTTAGGGAACGACATTTGGGGGGCTGGGGTATCCTGCAGCTGACAGCTGGCACTGGCCTGGCTGTTTATGCCATGTGGGTGGGCTTGATTATGCCAGGCTTCCGGAGGGTCCCCCTAAAGTTACAGGTAAGTCATAAATCAGGATTCAGAGGAGTTCTGTACTTTGCTGATTTGTGCTGAGCGCAGTATGCATTCTTCCTGCAGGTGCCCTATCTCCCAGCCAGCAGAACGCAAGTGAGAAATGTAATGGTTCTGCTGCGAGGGCGGTCAGGAAGCCTTGCCGATTTGGGCTCAGGAGATGGTAGGATTGTGAGTTCTTGCTCTTTTGCTCTTTATTCTGTAGACACGTAGATGTCGGGGTTGTGAACAGGATAGGGACGGCTAGTCTCGCTTCAGTTCCCTGCAGACTGCAATTCGAACTGATCCGCTTCATACCGTTGTTCCTTTGTCGCTTTTACTAGGTTCTGGAGGCATATCGACAGGGTTTTCGTCCAGCTGTAGGTTATGAGCTCAATCCCTGGTTGGTCCGCCTGTCCTATTTTCATGCATGGAGAGCAGGGCATTATGGGAAGGTGTCATATTTACGGAAAGACCTTTGGAAGGTATGTGCCATCTTAGTCAAGGGAGAATTCTCGAAAATGGAAATTTCTAAACTGTAAGCTTGATGCGGTGTCCTTACCCTTAGATCAGCCTGGCTGATTGTAAGAACGTCACTGTGTTTTTGGCTCCAAGTGTGGTGAGTTAAAGCTAAAAATCAGGGCCATACAGACCTTGTGTGTTATAAATGAAATGCAGCATGCCTTGTGTAACACTCGCGCTCATCCCCCCCCCAACAGCTGCCGCTGCTCCAGCAGAAGCTCCTGGCGGAGCTACCGGATGATGCTCTAGTGGTGGCTGGCCGCTTCCCCTTTCCTGACTGGAGGGCGTGCAGGGTGGAGGGGGAGGGTGTGGATCGGGCCTGGGCCTACAGCATGCAGGCCCAGAGGCAGCAGCAGAGTCCCAAAGAGCCAGCTAGCCCACAGCACGCTTCTTAATCCCAGATCAGCTCTGAAGCTGTATGACGCTGGTAGCAGAAGAGCAGTGCCAGACTGTGGGTCTGGATCTGTCCTCGAAGCTCTTACGTTATACTGTGCTCACCAAGATGACGCTAGGTGGTTTGGGCCTGGTTTGCTGTATTTTACTCTATTTGTCAAATGAATGATTTTGACTTTTTATACTACTGTACATTTTATGGAATTCTTGCACCAGTCATACTGTTGTTTTTAAATTACAGTGGTACCTCTGTTCTCGAACTTAATCCCTTCCGGGATTTATGAATAATTGGAGTCTTCATGATATATGAGCCTGTGTACTTTTCCTGTTCCTCTTTGTTCCAGGGAAAAACTTTTTTTTCTGAATAAAACTCGGTTTATTTATGAATTAAGTGTTGCAAAACATGCTACACCACTATGGAATTCATGGGTTACATTTCAAAGTAGCTAGAGGGCCCCAAAATATTTTGCTCAGACTAAACGAAATAAATGTTATATACTTTGTAAATAGCATACTATATCAATGGAGATGACTAACGAAAGAGCCTTGTGTGACCTGTGTGCTTTGATCCTCATGTGACTTGAGCTGCATAATCCCTGCAGGACTCTCATCTCCACTCACACCACACTTAACAATGTGACTGTTACACATTTCCTTAATGCATGGATAAGTGCACATTAAATACAATGGGTGTAAAACTTATATCTTTTTACTGAAATGTCTGGTTACAGTTGGGATTATTTACAACTTAGAAACTACTAAAGCAATTACAAATGTGATGGACATACACGTATAAACATCTATTACGAACTTTTATATTCCCTTCTATAAAAAAGTAAAACGGATTCATTTGTTCCTCTCAGTTGCCAGTGACTTTTTGGTCAAGGTGGGTAAACATACACTGGCAGGACATCCCTGAGATACTATGCAGAACATAAGTCACAAACCATTAGTCAATGAAATGGGGACATGTTTCAGAAATGGTAATATTCCAATATTACCTTTTCCTCATAAGGCAACGATTCTAGACTCTTGGCACAATAAGATATTCTGAGGTTGGTTTACAAGGATACCCTTGTCATCAGCCCTGCTATTGCCCACCCCCTGCCTCTGGGGTGCGTGGTACAGGGGTCACATGATGCTTCTCCCTGCCTTGGGCTCAGTCTCCCTGCTGAAGCTCCACAGCTTCCTCCACCTCATCTTCCTCACCCCCACTGTCTCGTCTTTGGTCCCTGGTGAGGGGCAGCCCCACTGACCGCCGCAGGGCATCCAGGCTGCGCTGGCTCACATAGAACGCCACATTGGAATTGGGCAGACGTCTCTCCATCTCCTCCATCATGTGGTAAGCCTGTGCATCACCAACTTGGCGTTAAAACCATCTATTTCAGGAAGCACCATTTACAGAGACCTGCGTACACCGCTGTGAACGTGGTAAATGACTCACATCCTGGAAGTTGCCCTGCTGACAGAGATGTTCCACCAGGAAGCCATAAACATCACCGACACGCACGGCAGGGTCCAGCTCCTCCTCCTCCAGCAAGGCCTGGCAGAGCCTCACAGCTTCTCCTGGGTCCTCCTCGTACAGCCTGGGAGCAGAGGAAGGACATAGTTTTTTTCAGAAGCTCCTAGTGGAGCATGTTTTCCTGACAGGCTGGAGAGAAGGATGCGAGGTTCACCTGCGCGCCTGGACAAAGCGTTTCACCAAAGTGATCCTGTGTTGTGTCGCGGCTAGCCGACTCTGTTGTTCCTCTGGGCTATGCATCTTAGCCTTGGCCAGGCACTTGTAGGCCTCTGTTAGTGCACCCAGGGACTTCTCATAGTTCTGATAATCATCGATCTCTACCTGTGGGGTCAAATCATACTAGTTATGAAATTAGTAATTCATTATAAGCTTCAAAATATACCATGCAATGACAATAAAGGCATTCAATTCAATTCAATTTTTATTGTCATTCACACAATGTGCGGGCACGTGTAAATGAAAAAGAGAGTTGTGGCTTCATCAGAACATGCAAGACGTGGGGGACAGGAGAGATGGAGGGAGGGAATAGACATAGATTGGACATAGGTTATGTAGATTATACATACATTATACATACATACATAAATTAGACATACGTGACCTACATACATACATAATATATAAATTATACATAAATTACACCTATATTACCTACATTGGACATAACTTTTTCATACATACATAAATTAAACGTACAGGCTAAATACAGATACACATATTAACATATACATTAAGATATACATAGCAGCGCATGTCTCCATAGATGAGGTAATGTGTAACTGAGGTACTAAAATGGAGCTGAATAGCGCATGGTAAACATAGTTGACATAAGATGTAGATAAAATTGCGCAAATGGCATCCATCCATCCAAAAATAAACAACAAGCACATAACACTAACCTGGGCACAGGCCTCATAGAAGCCGGAGAGCAGGTCAAGAGCCCTTCCTTTGGTGTAGAAGCAGATGATATTCTTCATGATCTCAGGCTCCTTGCGCCAGTCCAGAGACTGCAGATAGTTGGCAGCCATGATGTAGATCTCCTTCTGCCTGGAGACGCCAGCGAAGAACATAATCTTCTCTGTGTCTCCAGACTTCAGAAGTGCTTTCATGGCCTGTCAGATAAATATCCTTGGTCAGCAAACAATGAATGCTTCTACATGAAGTACGCAACTGTTCCCAGCAGAGTTTCTATCTTGGTTTCTCATCTTTCAGCCTCGCTGACCTTGAGCTTGTTACCGGCCTGGGTGTACTTCTTGGTGGCCAAGTGGTAGTTGCCCTGCCGCATGCAGCAATCCGCAATTCTTTCCAGAAGATCCCGCCGTGCCTCTTCTGTCAGTCCATTGGAGCCCTGTGATACGGTCATGCTCTCTGCAAACTCCTCACTGATGGTCAGGTTCTGGTCCAGACACAGCTGCAAAGCCTCAGGGTACTAGAGCACATAGGTAATAAAGAGCTCCTCAGCATCTAAGGACATTGTTTGGGGGAATTTGATAGCACAATGGAAACGGTATAAACTCATAAACTATGTCCTCATACCCAATTACACCACAATGTGACCGTTCCATATACAAGGCTATGTTTACATTACCAGGCTGAAGTAACTCACATCAGATTTTGCTTTAATGTGACACAGAGCTGATGTTTCCGGGGTTGTGTGGACACAGAAATCCGATCTTTTCAAATCAGATTTGAGTCACTTTCATATGTGGTCCTAGATCGGACACGTAACCAATTTGTGGCCATGTGACATCAATGAGAACGGTCAGGTCAGACTTCATGCATTTTTTTGCCTATATGCCTGCACAGGAAAACAGTAGTGGAGGAGAGCTACAGCTGTGACAACATCAGTGGAAGGATGGGAATGTTGGCGATATAATAGATATTTGGGGAAACTAATCAAATCAAGCCAAACTGGAAGGAACCTATCTTGCTGCCTATCTTGGCCAGGATTCCTTTGAAAAAGAGGTTTTTAAATCTCAATGGGATTTTCCTGGTTAAATAAATGTCAATAAATAAATAAATGAGTACTTTCGAAACAATCACCAAAGAAATCGCAAAGAGCGTCCATTTTGTCAGTTCAAATACCACGAGTCATCTCACGAGTCATTTTATTGTTTGTGACGCAAATGAATGTGCTGCCTGGCCTTACTCCGACCCCCCCCCCACTATGAACCTGAACTAGATACACAAATAGCAAATGGATGGTTCCTTGCTTCAGTCTAAAAAGGGGACTTTCTGTGGCATCTTTCTTTCGGAGTTTCTGCACCCACACAAAAATTACAGCTTGTCATTTTACGAAAAGTTTCCAGGTGTTCCCGTTTCGTACATAAAATTCGAATTCAAATTTTATTTGTCACATGCATAATCATACACCGTACAACCTGAACTGAAAATAACTCGCCTTCTTGGCCGCCACCAACAGCTCCACGGCCTTCTGGTACTGGGAGTGCTTTATGAAGAAATCGGAGCAGCGCGCCAGCAGGGTCGGGTCCGAGTTCTCGTTCAGGTCCTCGGCGATCAGCTGCAGCGCTCCGAACTGCTGGGTGGCAAAGGCCAGCTCCAGCGCCTTCGAGAAGTGCCCTGCCTGAGCAATCGAAACACGAGAGGTGATGCACACGCTTAGAGATTAAAGGCTAGATACAGCTCAGTGCAGGAGCTTTTTGCTTCTGCCCCCAGAAAGCAGGTACCTTGTGAAAAAGCATGACAGCCCGGTCCATGTGGACACCCTTGTCCTCATAGTAGCAGGCCGCCTCCATCATGTCCTCAGGGTTACTCAGCAAAGCCAGGTTCATCAGCTGGTCGTCCAGGCCGTTCTCCTGCAGGAAGAGCCATATAATCACCGGAAGACTACCCGTTACTTAAGGCGGTAGGGCTCTCCAGGGGCGCAGCCTGACCTGACCTTGCACAGGCGGATGGCATTGTTGTAGGCCTGGGCTCTGGTGTAGAAGTGCACAGACTGCTTGATGTCCTCCTGGCTCTCGTACTGCCGGGCGAGGTGATAGGAAGCCGCGCGGTTCCCCGTCTCATTTGCGATCTCTGCAGCCTGCAGATACAGACAATCACTCAGAAAGTGCACATTCCGATAAAAAACAGCCTGCAGCTCATCAAGGAAACACACTACCTTCTGCACGTTCCCCAGGTAGCAGCAGACCCGAACCAGGGACAGGTAGTCCTGGGCAAACTCATAGTAGCGGAGAGCTGACTCCAAGTCCGACTGACTCTCCAGATACTGGGCCCACCACTTATAAAGGCTCCTGTCTCACAGAACACAAACAGGGCTGATCAGCCATATACTCTACATACATTTAATCTTCCAATTGCTCATCTAGGTGAGGGTCGCAAAGAAGCCTGTTCCCGCAGCAGAGGTCTCCCTGAGCGAGATGCAGGGCTCATGCACTCACAGACAGAGAGATGGCCACATTGGCCCTTTAGAAGACCCACTTAGCCTAAATGCATGTCTCTGGCCTGTGGGAGGAAAGGGGAGACCATGAAAGCTAAACAGATGCAGGAAAGGAGGGAGCCGAACCCCAGAGCGTGGAGGTTTGAGCAGACGGTGCAGTCCATGCAGACATCATGCCATTCCCATTATAGCAGTGTTTTTAAAAATGCTGATAAATGCAAGGGGCAGGTGTGTGTGTGGAAGTGAGGGATCTGGTGTTTCTAAATGGTCCATAGTGTGTGCAGATATCGATATCAAAATTTACTGTATTTCAAAATTTGACTCTCCCTGCCGGCCCCTGGAGGATGGGCTCCCCCTTTGAGTCTGGTCCCTCCCAAGGTTTCTTCCTTCTGGGGAGTTTTTCCTTGCCACTGTCGCCTATGGCTTACTCACTGGGGGCTTTGAGTGGGGATGCTGTAAAGCGCTTTGAGACAATGTAATGTTGTCATAATGTGCTATACAAAAATAAATTTGTTGTTGTTGTTGTTGTTGATGCCCAGCAGTGGACAAGCACTGTACCCATGATGAAGTAACCTTGTGCCCTATGCTGCCAGACAATTAAAATATGGATGAATGGATCATCTTGATTTTTGGGTGAACACTTTGATTGCTGCAGAACATTCTCACACAGAGGTCCTGTTTTTGGAATAAGACACACTTTCTATATTTAAGTCTGCAGTGAAAACCTGCCTCCTTAGAATCTCCTAGAATCAATGTTAAACGCACAGGTGCAGTGCCGTCCGTTAGCCACACAGTCAGCACTGTCTGTGAGCCACACACCAGGGCTGTCTGTGAGCCATGCCGTCAGTGCCGTCTGTGAGCCACACACCAGGGCTGTCTGTGAGCCATGCGGTCAGTGCCGTCTGTTAGCCACGCGGTCAGTGCCGTCTGTGAGCCACACACCAGGGCTGTTTATGAGCCATGAGGTCAGTGCCGTCTGTTAGCCACGCGGTCAGCGCCGTCTGTGAGCCACACACCAGGGCTGTCTATGAGCCATGTGGTCAGTGCTGTCCGTTAGCTACGCGGTCAGTGTCAGCTCATGCCCTCCGTGAGACACACGGTCAGTGCCGTCTGTGTGCTGTGCGGTTGGTGCCATCTGTGAGCCATACGTCAGCTTTATCTTTGAGCCATGTGGTCGGTTCTGTCTGTGAGCCATGCACTGGAACTGTCATAGGTCTTCTTCATGGTTGTGTGCATCTTCTGCCTCTGTGCTATATTATGCTACCAAGATTAAGTTTACCAAATCTATTAACTCAGTACTCAGCCCCTTTTTCTGGCCCTGAGCTAAGAGGTCATCAGCTGTATCATTTAAGTGTAAAGAGAACAGATCCATGCCTTAGACAATCTGTGTGTGTGATTAGTCCATGCCCCACAGTCAGCTACAGCACTCACTTTTCCTTCATTTTGTTGACGTAGATTTCTAGCGACACAACGTCCTCAAGCAGCATCCTGGGAACCTCAAACCGGTAGGTGTCAGACTTCTCATAGCTGAGGCACAAACACAACAAAACTTTCAGTGCAAAACTAACAAGACTTCAGTAAATGTCTAAAGAAGAAAGATTTAGCACTTTAAAGACCCCAACGTAGAAAAGTTTTGGCACCGAGGCCCAGGACTGCACTGGACATCTGGCATGCTGGGTATTTTCCTGGTGGATCGATGGGTAAAATATCATGTGGGTCCCCTAATTCGCTCGTGCAAATGTACCATGGGGGTTCCCAAAGTCCAGGGCTGATTTTAATCCCAGTCCAGCCCTATCAAGCCCTAGTGGTTCACAGCAAGCTGAGGCTCCTTACTATACACGGGCCAGAGCACGGTCTCCCATAGCTTCCAGATGCTTGGCGTAGCTGTAGTACGTGGTACGCAGATGCACGCGATCATGGGTTTCTGCTGTTTCCAGAGCCTGCTGCCACTGCCCCCCTGCCTGGTAGAAGTTGTTCAGCAGGTCGTAGCGCCGGCAGCTACGGTACAGGCGCTCCGCATCCTCCTGGTGACGGCAGGCCAGGGCTCAGCATGACATGGCAAGATGCTGCACGTCTGCTACATCGCTATATCTTACCAGCATTCCCAGATGTGTGGCCAAGACGGCCACCTGTGCCTCCTTCTCTGGCAGAGCTTGGGCCTCTCTTAGTGCTCGTGCTGCCCTGGCATGACCCATGTTACCCAGGCAAACACGAGCCACGTCCAGCCGCTGGCTTTTCACGCACATGCGTGCCAAGTTCTCCCAAACCGTAGCACTAAAGAACAAAATAAAATGCACAGGGGGGCAAGTCTAACATATACCCAAGCATTCCTTATATCATAGACTAACCAACCTCTGTTGTTATAATGTGTTAACCATGGGAAACTGTCTAACCCACTGCTGTCCTTATACCGCGTTAATCATGGGAAATGGGCTACTAACTGCTGTCGTTTTATCGTGCTAATTGTAGGAAATGGGCTAACCAACTGCTGTTATACTACGCTAATCGTGGGAAACAGGCTAACATTAAACGGGTACTATCTGTTTGACCCTTCGTATAGAAGCAGTGAGTCTTGTTATGTGATTCTCACCTTTTAATGAGTCTGATACACTTGAAAGCTTCGTCCATGTCCCCAGTGGTCAAATAGAAGCTGAAGTTAAGCATGGCATCTTGCGTGGGCTTGTCACAGTCCTCCAGTCCAACAAAGTCTCTCAGTGCTCTTCTGGAAACCATGCGCTGTCCAGATGGAGTCTCACCCTCTGCTGTCTCTTCTCCAGGCTGAATGGGGGAATAAGACCATCTGATGTTGTGATGTGGAGGGAGTGCCCTTACCCAGGAGCACAAGGTTATTGATGGTTATGGACATTTGTGACCCAGTCCAGATAAAGACATCAATGACTCACAAAGTCTAATCCCTACCCAGGGCATTGTAATTGACTAATGTTATGAAAGCAGGAGAGCACAGAAAAGCCCAGGAGCTGAGCAGATACTTACTTCTGGGAGGAAGATCGAACCCCTCCGAAAAAACAACTGGTATAAGGACACGCGCAAGCAAGCCCACCAGGATGGAGGGACAAAGAATGAGAAGACAAGCGACAGAAGTCATGAAACTGACAAATGAACAGAAGATTTACGGGCTAAAACAGATATGAAAACTCAAAAAAGCAAAAAAAAGGTGAAGCGACTGAGGCTGAAACAATGACTTACAGGTGTAAGTTATGCAGGGTGGAGTCAAAACCCCTGAGGGGGGGCGGGGCTACTGGACTCACCTTGCAGGTAAAGTAATAAAAGGGCACGTCCAGTGCCAGCAAGGCCTCTGTCCCAGCTGGTCGGGGGTAACAGTCATGCAGCAGCAAGCCTTGGTCCTGCGTGCAGAAGAATGAGGCGACCAGCACATCTGCCTGGGAGACAGGAAATACACACAGATTAACAATATATAAGCATACAAATCATTTGGCTGAATACCGAAGTATGAAAAGTGCACTGCGGTTTGTGAAATGCCTGCTCACCCCACTTGCACCGTAGATACATATGTAGATGTTTCTCTGGCAAAAACTGACATTTACTCTATATGGCTTTGGTCCAAAGCAATATACGTAGTGAAATGAAATAAAACCTTAAGTGACTGTAATTTGATGATGATTTTTTGAAGAAGGTTTTCAGCTAAACCCAAACACTATATCCACAGAAGTATTGGGACGCCAAACTCTTCTCACAAAGTTGGAAGCATAGAATTGTCCAAAAATGTCTTGCTGTGCATATACACATGCCTATGGATTTAGAAAGGAATGTCATAAAAGTTCCTGTGGGTGTAACGGCCAGGTGGCCCCATACTTTTTTCCAGGTCCCCAATGACCACACTTGAGATGCTGGTCCACTGAAAGGGTGCATACACACACACACACACACACATACACACATACACACACACACACACACACACACACACACACACACACAATTGGCAATTTAGCCACAGCGTGTTTTGGACTATAGGACACCAGAGTAGGAGGCCTGAGGAACATGGGAGAACTTCCAAGCCATACATGTGCGGAGCAGGGATGGGATTCAGGATTCATACCCCAACCCAGGAGGTCTTCGGCAATAGTGCTCCCACCCCAAGTTCCCATGCAGCGCATCTCGGTGAGATTGTTACATAATATCTTTTGAAATACTAATGCACCCACTAAAGTTAGAATGACCATGACTAATCGAAGGGCTACAGGACCCATACTCGCCTCCTCAAGGACACAGGAGGGCGTCGAGTTGTGCGAGCTGGCTGCCTTTAGCACTGTGTCACATACAAAGAGGCGCGGATCGCTTTCATCCCAGTACTGGGAGACAGGGCAGCGGCCACTCAGCTCTGTGACCTGGTACTTGTTCCTGTAGCAAAAACAGTCAGAAATACAACTGACTGAACACCAGCGTAAAACCTTCCATGAGTTCAATGCAAGAGCTTCTACAGTTTCTCCCTGTTAGGGTTGAATGCTGTACTTCTCTGTGTCCTCTGTATGCAGAGCCCGACTCAGTGGGCATCCCATGAAGAAGTCGAAATGAGACACAGCGTCCATCTCCACGTCATACAGGTAGACTCTGTGGTCAGGCCTCCCGTTCACCTGAGAGGGCACAGCACAGCTGGCGAGACTTGGGTGGGAACCAGAGCACAAAGACACACACAGGCAGGTAGGCAGGCAGACAGACAGGTAGACACAGTCAGACAGGTATGCAGGCAGATAAGTAGACAGACAGGCAGGTAGACAGACAGGCAGGCAGATAGACAAACAGGCAGGCAGACAACTAGACTGGCAGACAGTCAGACAGACAGACAAATAAGTAGACAGGCAGATAGGTAGACAGACAGGCAAATAGGAAAGCAGATACGCAAACAGGAAGGCAGACAGGTAGACAATCAGACAGGTAGGCAGGCAGATAAGTAGACAGGCAAACGGGCAAGCAAATAGCCAGGCAAGCAAGTAGACAGGATGATAGGTAGACAAGAGATAGGCAGACAGGCAGGCAAGCAGACAGGTAGGCAGGTAGGTAAGTAGACAGGCAGATAGGTAGACAGTCAGACAGGTAGACAGACAGACAGGCAAACAGGCAGGCAGACAAACACACTGACCTGGCTGATCAGAAGGCTGACTCGGCTTCCATCCGCATTGCACTTCACTGACTGAATGGCCCCCAGGTCTGGAATCAAGGCCCTCATATTCTTGGCAGCACACCCTGGCTTAGCCTCCCTGGGAAACCAAGCAGGTGCACAAATCTCAGACTAAGGGATAAAAATGGAAGTTATGACAGCATGAAACCATAGTATGGTGATGTAAAGAAAAAGTGGTGTGTTTTATTAACCTGCGGGACAAGTCGAAGAGCTTGAAGTGTGCGGCGTCTGTGCCCACCACCAGGAAGCACTGACACACACTGAGGAGGACAGGGTTTCCCTCCATCTCCGAAAACGCCAGTAGCTGTTTCACTGTGCCCTGTGGAGAAGCTCAGAGTGGGCACCACAGACAGAGAGACAGGCTGAAAGAGAGCGACAGACAGAGCAATAGACAGGCAGAGCCACAGACTGAAGTACCTGCACTGTCCGAACTTGAACTCGCTTTGGCTCCACAGTGTAAATGCTGCCACGGTGCATGGCCAGGGCATGAGATTCACAGGGAAAGGAGCCTGAAGATCGCAGGGCATGGGCAACAGGTGCAAGAGGAAAGCAGAGCAAGAAAAACTGGATAAATAGGCAGAAAACACAGGTCAACTAGTAATTGGAGATTTATGTTTAGAATTAAATTTTTTGTACAACAATGTATTATGAGTTGCTGAGACCCTCCCATGAAACCGTACCAGTGCGACAAAGAGCAGAGCCCAATGCCTCATACACAGTGACCAAGCAGCCGTACCTGTGCTACAAAGAGCAGAGCCCTACGGCTCATGCACAGTGACCAAGGAGCCGTACCTGTGCTACAAAGAGCAGGGCCCGACGGCTCATGCACAGTGACCAAGCAGCCGTACCTGTGCTACAAAGAGCAGAGCCCTACGGCTCATGCACAGCGACCAAGGAGCCGTACCTGTGCTACAAAGAGCAGGGCCCGACGGCTCATGCACAGAGACCAGGGAGCCGTACCTGTGCTACAAAGAGCAGAGCCCGACGGCTCATACACAGCGACCAGGGAGCCTTACCTGTGCTACAAAGAGCAGAGCCCGACAGCTCATACACAGCGACTCGCCTCCCGTCCCACACAGCGACCATCTCCTGCACCAGAAAAGGAACACATACTGTCAACAATGGCCAATCCAGCTCCACGTTTACAATATAAAACTATCATTTAAAAAAATAAACAGATCAAGCATTAGAAACGCTAAAGAAGTGGCAGAGTCAGCAGTTACCTTGGAGACACAGACACCTTTAATGTGTGTGTCACAGCGCAGACTGAGCTGGCTCCCACTGCTGAAGCAAGAGACACTCAGCTGATTGGGTGAGAGCTGCACTGCTGCCACCTGCTGGCTGCAGTGTGTGGACATGACATGCTCAGAGAGGATGAGCACGGTGCTTGAGCTCTGAGCCGCCAGAAGGTTCAGGCTAGAGCCCCACTAAAAGGAAGGCCAGAAGTGAGTCTCACACAAAACATGTTCGGATGTCAACAGACTCCAACATCTCCCTCCACAGAAGGTTTCCCTACCTGCAGCTGGGTGACATTTCCTTCAACTTCTGTTGGAGTCTGTAGTTTCCACTCGCATACAGACTCTGGCCTCTGATTCTGATTGGCCAAAGCCACGTTCTTCCACATAGCAATGCGAGCCTTGCTGGTTCCAGCTGCCACTATATCTAGAGAACCATTTCTCATTAAACTTAAACCATCTTGTTCATGTCAATAGCAATCTGGTGACATGTATGTTATTAATGAAACTATACCTTTTGCAACACTATATGATACACAGTTCAATGATTCTCCCTTTTCAAAGCCCAGATTTTCGTCTAGGGACAGCACGCAGTTATCATCTCTCTCAAGGTCCCAAAGTCTAAAAAAGGCATTCTTTGTGGTTATAAGATCAAAAAAATCTCTTACTTAAATCAAACTTTCATTTTAACATTTCATTTGTACCCCCATTACACCACAGTTAGCTTCAAGTTCAAAAGACTGAAATTTTAAATGTCTAACCCAGAGCACATAACTCCGATGCTGGGGTGACTCACCTGATCACAGGTTCCCCTGTGGCTGTGATGAGGAGACCCTGACTGGCCCAGGCGATGTCTGCGCCCTGTCCACTTCTCCCCGTCAGCTTTACCTTAACACACACAATTCCTTTGTTAGTGCACAGTCTGAAGCCTTCTTAATGATTCCAAGAGCGGACAGGAAAGCACCTTCATGATCTCCTGGGCACCCCCTTCTGATCCCACCCTGTACTGATAGAGCAGAAGAGTCTCAGTGATGACAACCAGAACACCCCGCCTGTCGAGGTACAGCAGCTTCTGCACGGGACTTTCCACACTGAGCAAAAGGCTGGCCCTGCCCTTCTCATCTCCACAGTGAACACAGCCTGCAACAGACACAAAGGGGGGAGAGTGAAAGAACACAAATGCACAGTTACATTGAACACAGGCAAGAGAGACAATCACACAGTTACACAGGAGAGGAAGACAGATTCACACACAGTTTCACTGGAGATAAACTAAGGATATCAATATTGAGCAGTGCTTCCCAAGGTCAGAGCAAAAAAATGACTGGTTCAGAGAGATAACGAATCAGATTGTAGAGGAGGTGGGTCCAAGCAACTGCATGAAGCTCAACCAACCAATCTGATGTCTTGGCCTCACCTCCTATAGCTGTTTGGACCCACCTCCTCTACAATCTGGTTGGGTATCTCTCTGAATCAATCAATTTTCATTCTGCCCTCAATTTTTTGTGTAAGTAAAACTCCAATAAGTGTCTGACAAAGCAAGAACAGAGTGAAAACATGTCTAACCATCATCAGTACTGACAAAGAATGTCAGAGGTTCCTGCTGTGTGGCTGCAGAGGACTTCCCACCCTTCCTCCAGTTGAACATGTCTAGGGCAGTCTCATCTCCACTGACTGCGGCGCGGGCCAGCTGTGCCACATCTCTGTGAGCAAAGCACACATTCATATCATGAAACACAGCACACTCCTGCTGTTCTTCTGTGTGCCAACACAACTATGGTTACTTACTCCTCTGGGGCAATGGGCCGGAAAACACAGCCTGTCAGGTGTCTGCCATAGCTGTGTTTCACCAGAGGAGACCCCTGGACCCGCCCACGGGTGTCGACCTTCCACAGGGCCAAGACACCCATCTAAAATATTTAGGCACACAAGAAACTGACACAAGGCAGATGAGAAATCACAGGAAATAGATTCAATTAGCCCTACACACAAGTGCACTGTGCAAAATCAGTTACCGCAAGTACTCCCACACAAACACACAGGGTTATAAAAAGAAAGACACACCCGATCTCCAGTGAGCAGACGACTCCCGGTGCCGGCCCACTCCAGGAGCGTGATGCTAGCTGTGTGTGTGGCCGGCAAACTGCTTTGCTCTCCTGAGGGGTGACTGTGCAGCAGGACCTCCCCTGTTTCCCAGCCCACAGCCAGTACTGCCTTGCTGGGGTGCCAGCACAGCAGCGTGGCCGGGAATGCGCGTTCCACATGACCGCTGGGCACGCATTCCCCCTGGGCAAAGCCAAAACAAAGCCCTCTGATATCTCAAAAGCATGTGTGGACAGAACAGCAGATTTCCTTCAATCAGGAGTATCCAACTCCGGTCCTGCAGAGCTACTGTTCAGTGGATTTTCTATCCTACCTGGCTTCTGATGAGCCACACCTGCTCTCAGGTAAATGCCAGGGACAGGTGTGGTTTAGAAGCCAGGTAGGACAGAAAACCTACTGGATAGTAGCTCTCCATGACTGGAATTGGAGATCTCTGCCTTAAATTCTTTAAGCAGAGTAAGCATGATCCAAGGTAACTTTTGAAACTGAGGTCCAGTGACTTGCAGCTCACCTGCTGTAGGTATAGATCAACGGACCCCCCTGTGGCCGAGCTTAGTGAGGATACGGCTAATACGGGCTGTGTGGGGTGCCAGGCAATCTGACATGGGTCTCCGCTGGACTCTGGTGCCTCAATTCGGTGGTCAAAGTACACTGCCATGCCTAGCATCAAACTCTGTCATAAGAACGATCAGCAAATTATTCTAAAAATACATATAATTAGTTTAATTATAATTCTTCTATGAATGAATCAAAATAGGGAGCCAAAACACCACTAATTTCATGTATGTACACATCATTCGTATACGGTGTGCAAAAACCCGGAAAGGAGAAGTGAAAACAGAATAATAAGAGAAAAAATGCAGCCACCATCGTGCATATAAAGGTAAAAAGGTCAAGTTTGATGTTTTAGGATCACAATGACAAACAGCAGGGCTGGAAAGCTGCAGAAATACGTTGGGAGTATTAAGCCACTGATGCTAACTGCCCGAATCTGTAAAGCAGTGCTTAGAGAACACTCGCTGGGATCTCAGTTTAGCTACAGTATCATTATTAATACCCAATGAAAGAAATCGCATTGTCATTGAAAACGACGTATTGTCCTTGTGAGATATTTTATTATCCGGCTGTGTTTTTCAGTACAAAGCTTTTATACAAACAGCACCACTTATCAATCTCGCGAATCGAGCATTCTGCTAGCGGGGATAGCCGTCCTGCTAAGCTAACCCGACCGGGGCCTGCTCCCCTTCTAACACTCCTGACAACTAATGTTACACCTTTTCCAAAAAACTAAAATTCATAAAAAAGCTCCAGAAAATAACGGAATTTTCGTGGTTACCTTATCGGTTTTTTGTTTTCGTTTTCTTCAAAAGTATAATAGCAGGGACATGTTAGCTAATACTTTCAGCGCAAAGAAGAGGCGTCATCTCTCGTTACCTAGACAACGCGTCGTGAGAAAGAAGGGGGAGAAGGTACTGACTGACGGGGCTCATGGGGGTGGAGCAGCTACAGAAATCAGCGGTATGTATTATTTATTCTGTTCATTTTATGAAAGCGGTAGAATGAACAGATCTGCAACAAAAACAGATCTGCAGCTACTGACCCAGTGTTGCCAACTCTCACGCATCTGGCGTGACACGATTAAAGAGGCTCACGCAAGACATCTTACAGCAAATCTATTATTCCATTATAAACCTAAAATTAGCCATATCGAAAGCGATGAGGTAGTTTGCAAACCCTACAGACTATTTAAAAGATAATGAAACGTACATACATGTAAATGCGTGTGCAGACTTGTCTCGAATTGAAATTCAGGTTTTCTCAGATATATTAAACTGAGTACAATTTAACCAAGCCTCAAACTATTTCTCCTACCTTAACATACAAACTAGTAATTAACACAGTGAGTATGCATCACTATTGTGGGCCTGCAGGGCTTGGGCACAGTGCTATAAACTGCATTTCCCAGTGCTGTCTTCTGCTATCTTGCAGCCGTATCCCTGAGAAATAGACCCAGGGCCACATTGAGCTACTTTCCTTCCATTTTGACTGGCCTTCCTCCCTTTCCCATGGATCTGGAGGATCACCTTATCAGGCCAGGTGCTATACCAGGTCTGGGTCTATGGGAAAGTTCTTTCTGTAGCATCTTACATATGACACAATCCACTCCGCTCAGGCCCTACATCTGCCCCGAGCAAATTGATTTTCTTTGCTCACAACCCTCCCTGCTTCGACTTTAGTGGATGTGAGTGTGGTCCCTGTTCAAACAGTACAGGACTTCTGCTTTTTCTTATGCCGTAGTGATTGTTAATCCAATTATTATGAAATATTTTCTCCATATAAACCAAGGCTCCAGCCTTAAATTTCTGCAAAATTTGTTACACCGATTTTCTGTTTCATTTTAACCAAACTACAGAAAACCTGCAGCTTCAATACGCTGGTCATCCTGTCGAAGAGCCTTTTTTGCTTGTCTTAACTTTGGCCGGATAGCCAGTAACAACACTGTCACTTGCACAATCCCATCTCCCTCATCTATAAACCAATTCACTGAACCTTTTGCCACCAAGTGGGGAAAGAAAATTGAGTAGCCTGGCAATGTTTTCCCCGTAAGCACACTTGTTTTTTTTTATGGTGCAACAGCATGGTGGCAGAAATGTTAGAACCATGTCAGCAACAAAGAGCAGTGTTTGGTATCACCATACAGCAATCCAACCCCAACTCACAGCTGCTGGCTAATATATATAACAACTCTATTGACCCCTGGGGCCTCAGGCTATACCGAGAGGGAGCCAGATTGCACAGGGATGTACGGAGAGATGAAGGTCACTGTCCCTCTGCTCTCACTGGCCATTGTTTCCTCTTTCTCTTCCTTTTGTGGCTACTGCTATATTGATGATTTAAAAAAAAAAATCAGATGAAAGTACTGACAAGAGGCATTTCCTTCCCTCACAGCAAGTAACCATGATAGGATTAGGCATTTTTAGCAGCAGAGCTTTGCAAGTGCTTTCTAATGAAGAAAAGCACGCAACTCACTTATAATCCACATTAAAACAAAAAGCATTCAATTTTTAATAAAACATCTTTAATGTACGAAAAGTGACCTGTACAAACATAGCCGATTAAAAGAGAAACACATTCAAATAAACCATTAAGTTCAAAATCACAATCATAATACAAACCTTAAAGACAAAAGGCAAATTAACAACAAACTGAACAAATGAACTGGATCTTGGTGAATTTCTCTGATGCATCTGTTTACAAAACTAATCTGTATACTCAAAGCACTTTATTCATTAAGCATGGTTTCTTATGAATCTGAATGGAATGATATTAATTTTCAGCCTGAAAGTATCTCCTTTGGAGACAGACTGCAGAAAAAAAAATACATGATTGAAACTGAGCTTTACGCTCTGTGGCCACATAATAAACCACGACAGTCTTCTGTTTGGCTGCGTAAGAACTCGCAATGGACACCTCAAGGAAGAATAGAAATAGAAGCAAAAACACTGAGCCCGAAGTCCAACAGGATGTAAGGATATGCTGAAGGTGTTGGTTTACAGCAGGACTGGGACAGCGTCCATGGCACAGAGTCTAAGGCTGCAGGCTGCTATAGCTTGACGGTCCCTGGAGGCAAACTGCCATTACACAGCCTGTAGTAGCGCAGATCATTGACAAGCCTGTGGACACTTTGGGTAAATGAGGGCAGGTCCTGTATGGAGAGAAGCAGTGCAGAATGTTATGGGTGGTAGAGTGTCCCGTGGTGGGCGCGCGCGCACACACACATGCACACAAACACACACGGCCCCCGACACCAACCTCAAAGATCACCAAGGATGCTACCATGTATGCAAGAATTATTTCCGCCACACAAGTTTTTTTTTTTTTTTTTTACAATATCACAGCTATCAAATAAAATTATTGCCAGGAACATGTTATATTATTTATATTTATATATATATATATATATATATATATATATATATATATATATATATATATGTTTACATTATAATTATATTAATTATTTATTAATACCAGTTTATATTTTATATTCGACTTCTATTTGTGATGCTAATTTAAAAATTCAGAATGGAAATTCATTCAAGTTTCCCAGCATGCATACAGATCTGGCTTTTAGATAAGTGTTTTATATGTAAATAATACACCCATTCCTGATATTTCACTAGCCGAATTTTAAAAGAAACCACTTAACCTCAAAATTCCTAAAAACAATGTCATATTTAGCATCATGTTTAGGCAGAAGGAGGGTGTCTCACTCGCTCCAGCTTGAAGTTGCGCCCAAGAACACTGCGCTGGTTGGCATCGACACCTTGGCAGCTACTGAGGAACTCAGGCATGAAGGCTGAATAAAAGCTGTCAAAGTCCACAGAGGCCATATTGTAGACGGCCAACACGATCTCATCTTGCAGTAGATCGTGGCCCTTGTGCACCAACACTTGAAGCAGCACGTTGATGAAGTGGAACAACATGGAGGTACGGAACAGTTTCTACAGGGGGAACAAAGAGCAGCACACAGAATGAAGATATGCACACATCTGCACTGCACGTGTTCAGTGATGTAAGCATCCAGTGCAGTGCAGCACCTGACATACCATACCAGCTGCCTAAGGTTTCCCAACCAAGATTACAGCAATAACAGCTTACCTTGTGGTACAGCTTGTGCTTGCTGTTGAGAGACTCCAGGTAAGACAGATTCTGCTTGAATATATGAATGTCAGGTTGCAGGAAGGACTGACCAAAAGCCTGGGGACAAAGTATGGTATGGTGAGTAAATCAAATTCCAAACACCAAGAGCCAAACCTCAAAAACTCCACAATATGCAATATGAATAAAAGTTAGAAAAGGCACCGATCTGATACCTAGTATCAGTATTGGGCTGGTAGTACTGCGGGAGGGTGTGTAAGAAACTAACCCAATTTTCCATCAGATACAGGTCTAGCCAGAAAAATCATGAAAATGCTTGCAGCCTTAGCGCGACGTACCATAAACAGAAGTGAGGGTCATATGATGGCTAGCTGTTCAGCAACGCCTGTGTTTCAGAACTGTCACGTTTGCTGTGTGGAAATGCACCCCCTTCACAATTGCACATTTTACATTCGCGGTCTGGTCTTTCACGAGTTGGTCATGAACAAGTGAAGAGGAATATCTTTGGAGCTTGCTGATAGATTGTGGAAACTCACAAGACATGTGGTACAGGCACATATCTTTAATATATAAAAAGTCTTGGCTTGGGGATGACGTACATCTTCATCTTGGCAACCAGCCTCACCCATGTGTTAGTTGTCTTTGAAGCCATGGAATCTCATGTTTCTTGGAGTAAATGTTTCAGTGCCATTAATTTTGCATTTTTAATAATGAGTCCAAAAAATAGTGCCCCAGGGCATACAGTAGTAACTTCATACATACAGGGGCATAATTTAGACGGTTTGTATATTATATAAAAATGTCACAGTAGTAAATGAAGTAAATTGACATGCAAAGTGTACAGTACAGTGCTGTATATATAGAAATTGATAATGAATAGACTTAAGGGTTAAGGCCAAAGGACAGAGACATTTTCAGACTTGTTTTCTTTCTTATAATTTGGTTAATTGCTACTTAGAAGTTTTGTGCGCGCTCCAGTGTATATTTTGTACTGGAGACTTTGTGTAGTTTTTCACTAAAATGTTTTTTGGGGTATACAGTGATATTTTTATGACTGACTATTATATTTAATTTGGCAACAGACTGCACAATTTGCACTTTAAGAAATATTTCTGTTCATTTTATGTTAAAGTTGTTACTGAATAAAACAAAACATCAGATTTGTATAAATCATGTTCCCTGTACAGTACTGACATAGCTTTTGTTTGAGCAACATGCAATGCAATTTATTTTATATAGCGCATTATCACAACATTACATTGTCTCAATGCGCTTTACATTTCTGCCATGTAAGGACCCCCAGTGAGTAAGCCAAAGGCAACGGTGGCAAGGAAAAACTCCCTAAGAGGAAGAAACCTTGGGAGGAACCAGACCCAAAGGGGGAGCCCATCCTCCAGGGGCCGGCAGATGAGTCAAACAAAACAAGATGATATGACTAAGCTAATACAGGGGTTGAAATATCAGTCTCAATGCAGCGGCCGACCGGTGCAGGCACGGGGTGCTTGATGCATGATGGCAAGATCAACAGTGGCACAGCCGCTGTTGACTGCTATGTATTCTAAGCAAACTCAAACAATGCAGGGACGACACTACATGCAGATAGTTTGCCATGTTAACTGAAATATATTGATACAAATATGTCATTTAATGCTTAGTGGCTGACAAAGGGGAAAATATCAGACTGGCGCTTGTATCTGCAGATACTCAATTTCAATATCAGAATCGGGATCGGACCGGAATAAATGACATTGTACCATCTCTAATGGAAGTATCAATGTGCATCTGGTT